AACTGTAACGATAAAGATAAAGAGAAACAGTATTGCTGGAATTTTTATCAACCAGTGAAAACTAAAATCTCAAAAGGTCCAGCATTTAAAGTTGCAGTTGACAAAGAGTCCTTACTGTATAATTAACAGAACATTGTTGTGTATTGGTATGGATAATAATAAAGCCATCATTATATTTTTGGTATATACTTATTTTTTTAAAGCTGGTTTTAGAAAGACTAGCTAGCCTTATGTAAAGTCAAACCTTGAGAGTGCCGAGGACATCCACTATTGATCAGAACTTCAAAGGTCCACTGACTTTAATTGGCGGAGCACATATCGGATATAGAGATTAGTTGGGGCCAGACAGAAATGTAATAAAAATCAATGGCTGTGAAGTTTTGCTTGATATATTTTTAGATTGGTTTATGGCTCCTGTTAATTGGCTGCTTAAAATCGACAAAAAAAAAAATGTAACAGTATTGATGGATTGAAAAACTTTTAAAGCGATAGGTTTGAGTTTCTTATTTTTTTTCTATTGAACACAAAAGAGGATATATTAAAACATGTTTGAAACTGTTGAGATTAAGGGGCAGATTATTTATACATCTGAACACTTAATAAATAACTTTTCTAGTGATGTATGTTTGTTTAGAATAGGATCATTTTTAGTCAACATCTGGAATCTGAGGATTTGAAAAAAAGTATTAGTATTAAAGGTCCCATGAAATTAATTATATATATATATATTTATATTTTTAGATAATTTCAATCAACTGCTCTCTAGTATTTGACATGTCCCGCCCCCTTCAAGACGCTTCTCGTCTGTTTTCATCTGATGCGCTTGACCTTAATCACTCTCACTGGCAAAGCTGTGATAAAAACAATGATATTGGCTGTTTTTGTAAAAGGGGAGGAGCTACTCTATGTCCCACCCTTCAGTCAAGATTACATCAAACATCGAAAAAAAATGCACATTTTAAAAGCACTTCATGGTTTCTTTAAATGGAAATAAGTGAAGATTACAGTAGACCATTAATTTAGCACAACTAAACCTCACTCTTTTACTCACTCGCTCACTCACTCACTCACTCACGTTCTTTTAGCTGCTCTATCACGGCTACCACAGCAGAATGAACCACCAATCACTCTGGCATATGTTTTTATACAACACAATTTCAGTACTTGGAAATGTTTCACCAGGAACATATAAAATTGTGTACTTGACTTTTCACTTTTCATCATTTGCTCTTAATAAGGGATGAGGTTTTCATCTAAATTTAAAGTAACATCTGACATTTAACAGTTCACAAAATGTCCTTTCAATGTTTTTTTTTTTTTTTTTTTTTTTTTTATTGTACAACTCCTGTCTCTGATTAGCTGAGCTCACCATTTAATTGTTTTTGGACATTTCTGTTTGCAATTTTGCTGCATTCACCTACAAAAAATTATTTTGCTATGTTTAGAGTAGGAGATAAAATATAGTAATCTTATGAAATTATCATAGGGATAGTTGAATGCAATTACATTAAGATTTTGGCAATGTTGCTATTAAATTTTACCTAAAAATCCAAATCTAAATATTGTGATTAAGCTCAAAATTGCAGTAAGAATATTTGTATTAACAAACTTAGGTGGTGTACGCTGATTTAATTTTTTTTTTTATTAATAGATTAATGAATTTTAATGAATTTTTTATTAATCAAGTGTTTGGCATTTGATATAAATAAATAAAACAGTGGTCAGAAACACTACTTTTTTCCAACTTTTTTACAGCAAGTCATGTGAATAACCGCAGTAAGACTAATGCTGTGTTCACACCAGAATCGCAAGTGATTGACAAGTCGATAATTAGTTCCCCTTCAGTCTTCTGGCTTTTGAGTCGTTCGTTCATCACGTAACAGAATGACTCAAACCCGATAGAGGACTCGAGAGTTGACCAGATCAACTCTTTTTCCGGCTCTAAACACATATGATTGGCCCGTGAGGAACAAATGACTCAAACCCGAGAGAGGACTCGACAGATGAACGGATTAATTCTTTTTCCGGCTCTAAACGCATATGATTGGCCCGTGAGGAACAAATGACTCAAACCCGAGAGAGGACTCGACAGATGAACGGATCAATTCTTTTTCCGGCTCTAAACGCATATGATTGGCTTCTGCCTTTCCGCAATAAACGACTCAAAATACTTGAAATGAACGATACCACCTGCACAAATGTGCGCACTGCACACGCTCGGATGAACGAATCACTCCCTGAGAGGACTCGTAGTTCCCGAGTCATCTTGAAGATTAGCTCAAAATGAACGAATCGTTCAAGAACGATCCATCACTATTTAAAGCATGAATTTTCTCATTCATTCATTCATTCATTCATTCATTCATTCATTCATTCATTCATTCATTTTCTTGTCGGCTTTGTCCCTTTATTAATGGGGGGTCGCCACAGCAGAATGAACCACCAACTTATTCAGCAAGTTTTTACGCAGCGGATGCCCTTCCAGCCGCAACCCATCTCTGGGAAACACACACACTCATACACTACGGAAAATTTAGCCTACCCAATTCACCGTTACCGCATGTCTTTGGACTGTGGAGGAAACCGGAGCACCCGGAGGAAACCCACGCAAAGGCAGGGAGAACATGCAAACTCCACACAGAAACGCCAACTGAGCCAAGGTTTGAACCAGCGTCCCAGCTACCTTCTTGCTGTGAGACAACAGCACTACCTACTGCGCCACTACCTCGCCATTAATTTTCTCAATTATGAGAAAATTAAGGCCCTTAAATGGTATTAAAAAGTCCTATGTTTTTACGAGGTCTTAAATTTTGTTGAAGCGTTGTCCAAAGTGTTTGACTCCAAGAAAGCAAAAATATATTTATTATAGTCCTATATTAACAACGGCGTGCTCGATCCAGGCGATTAAAATAATCTATTAAAACATTTTTAAAATATTCTGAGAAGGTCTTTAAAAAGTCTTAAAAAGGTATTGAAATTATATTTAGGATTCCTGCATATACCCTGTATTTAAGCCTCTTTCTTCTATTGAACATAAAAAAATGCTTCTTGCTGGGATCCATTGTTTTCCATACTAAAGTAATGTTTTTCCTACTATGAAAGTTAATGGATCAGAAGAAAGAAACTCGTTAAGGTTTAAAGTCACACAAGGGAATAAATGAGGTAATATTAATATACCAATGAATTCTGGCATAAAAGAAAATTAATAATTTTGACCCATACATACAAGTTTTGACTTTAGCAGTAAATATACCCATCTGACTTACAACTGGCTTTGAGGTCCAGGGTCACACATGTTTAGCGCAAGTGAAAGGTCATTAAATGATGACAGATCTTTCACATTTCAGTGAACTATTAAACTATTTAAGCTCCTTAAGGTGCAAAGATAAGAAAGAATTAGAATGTGAAGGGAAAGTAGGAGAGACCCTCACGTGTTAGGAATCCCCTGTCTCAGTACTTGATGGCAAGAAAAGCTGCGTCTTAATACGCTCAGGGCTGCTTTTGGCACGTGCCTGAGCATCGTGACTCAGTTTGCCTCCGAGAGAGAAAGAGAGCGAGGGAAAGAGGAGCTGGGGCTTCTGTTAGACCTAAAGGGGGTCTACTGACAGACATCCACCCACGAATCAGACGCGTGCTCGGAGCCACATGGAGAGCACAAAACCTATGCTTCAGGGCAACTGTCAGTTTTGCTAACACTCATGCATGTTTAGATCATGTACGCAAACACAGATAAATGCAGGTGGACAGAGATAAATGCGTTGTTCCCATGTAAACAATTTCACCCACACGTTCACGCCGGAGAACGTGAAATCAAAATGGTGCATATAGAGAATCTCATAAACACAGCGGGTTGTTGCTTACAGCCACTGGCATCTTCAGAGACTCTGCACGCGCTGTATGTTTGCACGTGATCGAGCACGTTTGCTGACAGCTACTCCCTCACGCCGGCTATAATGAAGACAGAGAAACCGGATTATTTACACGCTATAGAACGCATCATTTCTAGTGAAAACATACTAGGCTGATGGTTTGCTTTTCCTTTTTCTCTCTGTGATTCATCTTTGTCAAGGCATGAAGAAAACTGTTCCTAAGCAACATGGGGTCAACAGAATTCTCAGTGTTAGCTTTTTTTAAGCATGCAAATTCTGCCATTTTGTTTCTGTCATTTCATTAAGTACAGCACTATCAACAATCATCAGGGAGTGTTGTAAGGGATATATGCAGTGGTGTAAAGTAACAAATTACAAATACTCAAACTACTGAGTAGTTTTTCTCAGGAATTGTAATTTACTAAGTAGTTTTAAAAATGTGTACTTTTAATTTCCCTTGAGTACATTTTTAGTGCTGTATCGGTACTTTTACTCCTCTACTTTCCTTCAACCTGCAGTCGCTACTTTATTATTTTCTTGTCTATAGGGATTAGAAAAATCAGTCTTGTGATTCCTTTCCAACCAAATCTCACGTAGAGAGCATCATACTGAACGTCAAGACATGGACGATTTATAATTATGGAAAACTGTTTGTAAGCGTTAAAAGTATTATAGAATTATAAGGTTCTATCTGACATTTTTGTCAAAATTGAGTTATTAACGTATTCTTATTAATTGACAACTTATTTACTTGATGTGATGTTTTTCTATAAGTTGTATACCTTTAAGACTTTTTATTTAAAAAACAAATGTTACATACAGTTTGCTGTATGGAATGCAAAAACTTTGAAGCTCAATATCTCAAAATTATTCAGAACACCGATAACACCTTATAATTCCAAGGTGACGAGATGTCCATCGTGTTTCGAATGCTTCTAAACAGTAAAACATTTTGCAAAGCAATTTATTTCCAAGCTTTAAAAAGCTTTGTTTCAGCCACCACTAGTTGATAAATTGAATCTACAGCCATCATTTTGCTCTCTTCATCCACCATCTTGTTTTTTACAATGCATTTTGGAATTGTCTTATTTTCATTTAAGATATAATTAATTTAAAATATTTTGTTGACAGGTTTTTGGAAGGCCACGTGCCCTCCATCATGTGCAAGTCCGCTCCTCGTGTTTGTCAACTCAAAAAGTGGAGACAACCAAGGGGTAAAATTCCTGCGTCGCTTCAAACAGCTGCTCAATCCTGCTCAGGTCTTTGACCTGGTCAACGGTGGACCTCATTTAGGGTAAGACCAGGATGTCAGAGGTCATGGAGTATGAACTAAATCAAATTAGGGGGGTTGATTTCTTGCTGATATTAAAACAAAATTATTTCAAAGGTGTAATGCAAAGGGTTTTCTCTAGTCCCATAACAATTACCCTTACATCTTTCTCTATTTTAATTGCCTTTTAGGTCTTTTTAATTGTCCTCAAGTGGGAAAAATCTATATTTAACCCTTGTGTGTTGTTGAGGATGTTTTTATCCACTCTGTGGTGATTTTAAGTCTTAATTTGTCCACAACTTTTTCTGTGTTTTAACAAATAGAATGATTTTTGGTAACAAATTTTATTTTGACACTTAATTTGAGGAAATGCTTTGAAAAATGTAACAATATACTCTACATTTTCATTATGTTTGTAGCTGTTTTTGCCCCATGGACTTAAATATAATTACATTTTTGATTGCAAAACCATGACAATCATTCATTCTTATTTGTTGTTGGTTGTTCCTATTGGGAAGAAGTACTGTTGCAGTGCAGAAAATGCTTAGTTTCTACCTTCTATATGGGGTAGTGAGTGTTTTTGTGTTAGAGACCTCTGCACACTTACCTTGATGTGTCTGAGAAAATCTAAATAAGCAGCTTACCTTTCAGAACATAGTAAACATAGTAAGTGAATTTATGCACACACACACTATAATCTGCTGTTTTGTTTCATATAAAAACCCAAAACTTTATTTTGGACAGGCCTATCTAAATGTTTAATGGTGCCAACTGATGACCAACAGTAAAATGACACATTTTACCTCTTCCCAACTGAAAAACCACCAACAATCAAGAATGCTAATTATATGCTGTCATAACTTTGCATTCAAAGATGTCATTATAATGGATGTCAATGGGGCAAAAACTGCCATCAACATAGTGAAACGGTAGTAAATTATGAGTTTATAAAAACTGCAGGTAAAATGATTAGAAAACTATTAGAAAATACTGTTAAAAATGTTTATTTTCAGTTTATCATCTCACACCACAGCACATCAACTATCCAAATCTGATTTCCCCATTTATTGTAGCTCTTACAGTCTGTGCGAGTTAGCTTATCATTTTCATTTGTCTCTTCTTAAGGCTTCGCTTGTTCCAAAAGTTTGACAACTTCCGGATCCTTGTGTGTGGTGGAGATGGAAGCGTTGGCTGGGTGCTGTCTGAAATCGATAAACTAAATCTTCATAAACAGGTGAGTGGTGACGTGGTGGCGCAGTGGGTAGCATGATCGCCTCACAGCAAGAAGGTCGCTGGTTTGAGCCTCGGTTGGGTCAGTAGGCATTTTTGTGTGGAGTTTGCATGTTCTTCCCATGTTCACGTGGGTTTCCTCCAAGTGCTCCGTTTCCCCCCACAAGTCCACAGACAAGTGCTGTAGGTGAATTTAGCAAGCTAAAATTGGCAGTAGTGTATGTGTGTGTGATTGAGTGTGTTTGGGTGTTTCCAGTGATGGGTTGCAGCTGGAAGGGCATCCTCTGCATAAAACATATGCTTGATAAGTTGGCGGTTTATTCCGCTGTGGCAACCCCAGATTAATAAAGGGACTAAGCCGAAAATAAAAGAAATAAATGAATGAATGAATGAATGAATGAAACAGGTGAGTTTCTGGAGACTACGAAATAGGAGACTATTTTTTTTTTTTTTTTTTTTTTGTCAGCTTAAAATTACTGTCCAAAAATTTTCTTTGAATTATCGACCAAAATAAAAATAAAAATGAATTATCGGCCGTAGGAAAAAATAACCAAAAAATTTGTGTTTAGCAGTGCTGGATTCCCTCTTCCTCTAGCCATAGGCACTGTGCATAGATAGTGAATTGGATTCACATTTGCACCCAAGCATACACAATGGTCAAAAGTTAAAAATGGCTTAATATTCCGCTATGTGGATGTTCTGCTTATGAACACATATACTTATTTATTCATGAACCACACATGTTCACATAAAAAGCTAAATCCAGTCAAATAACATGCATACAGCATACATTTCTCTGTAGTGAATAAGTTCCTTCTGCTTGCAATAGATCTACTGTGCTGCCATGGCCAAACTGATTTGTTTGGCTTCTTCTTTGAAGAACATGATTGGGTGACGTTGACAGTGAAATAGACGTAGCTTGTTTTAGGTCAAAGATATTTACATTAGATGTTGCCTACGCTATTGTTGTCTATTGGAAGGAATGAGTCAATAGAGCTGATATTTTAGTACAGGGTAGTGCTCCTTTGAAATGAATGTGGGACCAAGGTGCAGTGTAGGACTGGCCATCCAGAGCCAGAGATATATACACATATATGTATATATCTATGATTGGGAGTTTTCCCAGTGGTCAGTATGCAAATATTTTTTTTAAGTTATAAAAATTATAGTTTTACATCACTTTTCTACATCGATGGATAAGTGACCGCACAGGCATTGCTGACAAAGAGCGTGTGTTTGTGTTCATGGAAATGTATTATCCTTCCTCTCTGTTAAATTTGAGCTAATCCGTGTCCTGAAACACACACCCTCACCTATTTTCACTTCTCATTCTAACAGAGGGAGCGATTCGTTTGTGAATGAATCCAGTAATGAACGACTCGTTCACTTAGCCGACAATAATACAAGTTTTTAGCATTGCAGCATCTTGTTATATTTCATTTACATTGTTTGCTTATTTTATTCAACAAAACTAGCATAAGCCTAGTAATTAGTGCGGGTTCATGCTACTTTGCCTTAGCATGGTCAGGTCAGTAAGAGACTCTATTATTATCAATACTTGTTTAGCACAAAAGTACGTAACATACAAAACCGTTAAAAAATTCAATCTTACCAATGAAATGTTCTACCTTTCAGCTTTGTTTTCTTTATTTGCTCATTATACATCCGTACATAGCGCTAAACTCCAGCATCTTCACATTGGCTTGAGTCTTGACTAGTGCTTTTGAATGTCATTTGTCCTGGAAGCACTGTTCAAATGTGGCGGCGTTATTGACGCATACTCAGAGGCTGTATATGCGATATCTAATGTGTATATATATATATATATATATCTATGGTTTTAAAAAAGGAAAATTCTCTTAATGATGGTTCTAATTTATACTTTATAGAGCATAATGAAGACTTTGTAGATATTTTTTTTATACATGGGTATTGTAAAGGCTGTTTCGACAAAATAACTGAAACACAATATTTTAATGTTCGATTATATGCTACCGTCAATAAAATGTGATTTTAATAGTATTTTTTGTCAAATCAGATTGATAATTAAATTTTATTTAATATAAGCTGACTTTATATCGTATTTAATAAAGTAAGAAATAATTATTCCAAACTATTTTTGTTTTTGGTCTTCAAAAGAAGAAATGTAAAATAATCTGAAAATCTTTAACTATTGACTTCCATAGTAATTGTTTTTCTTTCTAAGGAAGTCAAAAGTTACAGGTTTCTTCAGATTGTCTTATTTTTCCTCTTTTCTTGTTTAATAAAGTATTAAATAATTATTCCAAAATATTTTTGTTTCAGTTTTCGGCCCAAAATGTTCATATCACATGTTTCTACATAGTTAGCCCCTGGCTTATACATGTCAGAGCTTAATGAACTGGATAAAACAACGGAATGTCTCTTGTTGGCAGTGCCAGCTGGGTGTTCTGCCGTTGGGCACCGGGAATGACCTAGCACGGGTGCTAGGTTGGGGGCCGTCATGTGATGATGACACTCAGCTGCCTCAGATACTGGAGAAGCTGGAGCGAGCTAGCACCAAAATGCTGGACAGGTACAGATCTCCATACTGTCATGTTCCCACAACTATGTCACATGCATAATATCAGTGTTGTTGGCTACATCTGCAGCTGCTGTTTACAGGTGGAGTATAATGACGTATGAGATTAAAATACCTCCCAAACACAGCTGTCCTGCTACGCCTGAGGAGGCAGAGGACGGCCAGGTACCAGCGACACATGCAAACACGTACATCAACACCAATAAAAGAGCTGTTGACATGTTAAAGAGTGACATGTGATACTTTATCTGTAAACCAGAAGCAGCAAAAACAAACATGTGCACATCCATTGTAAACCAAGTTAAATACAAAAGTTCTTTTTCTAATGAAATGCTCAAAAGACTCACAAATCAACTTTTTACATTTTTTTTTACGTCATTTGTTTGAATTAGAGCAAATAAACACCTGAATCATTCACTTTTTTTTATATTATAAAAATAAATATAAATTTGTTGAAAACATCATCTCTCTCTCTTCCTCATATATATATATATATATATATATATATATATATATATATATATATATATATATATATATATATATATATATATATATGAGAAAGAGAGAGAGGATGTTTATAAATATATATAATATATGTTTATTTTTCCCCCAATTTCTGTATACAATTCATATACATATTTCTAAACATTTCTAATAACTGATTTATTTTATTTTTAAGTTGAAAGTGTCATTTAAAGGCTTAACTAGATTAATTAGGTTAACTAGGCAGGTTAGGGTAATTAGGCAAGTTATTGTATAACTATGGTTTATTCTGTAGTCTCTCTCGAAAAAAAAAAAACACTTAAAGGAGCTAATAATTTTGTCCTTAAAATGGTGTTTAAAAAATTAATAACTGCTATTATTCTAGCTGAAATAAGACAAATAAGACTTTCTCCAAAAGAAAAAAAATATTATCAGACATACTGTAAAAATTTCCTTGCCCTGTTAAACATCATTTGGGAAATATTTAAAAAAGGAGAAAAAAAAAATCAAAGGGTGCTAATAATTCTGACAACAACTTTATATACATAGCGAAGAGTAGTAAAATAAACCGTATACAGTGCAACTTTTAAACAATAAGCTATTATTTGACATTGTTAACTTCACTTTAATCTTCAAACTATTAATATAAAGACAATTAGACAGAATTTTTGTTTCCCTATTTCTACAGGAACAATCTGTAAATATTAGCATAAAATTTCGTGTTACTTTCTGAAAATAAAGAATTTCTCCTTAAAAAAAACAGAAAAATAATGTAATACCAAAATACAAGTAAATAACTGTAAATTTAATGTTAGATTTTTTTTTTACAAACATAGATAACAGCTATTTCACTGTATAATAAAGATGGAAACTTCTGTAAAAAAAAAAAAAAAAACACACACACAGACAAATACCTGTAAAATAATGTTAATTTTTTCCAGTCAATATAGTTGCTTATTAAGGCTAAAATGTCATTAATACAGTGCTAACAAAGAAAATTTGACCCCCTATTATAAAGTAAAAGCTATATCCACAATAATTATGGCAATTATTGGGGAATACTCAATTTTTTTGACTAAAACAAGGTAATAATTAAAGATAAAATCTCATTAATACAGTGTTAATAGAGGCAATTTTACCCCCCATTTTAAAATCAAAAGTTAAGGTTGTCTCACACTTGGTTTAAAAAAAATAATATTTTTTTAAATTATATATATATATATATATATATATATATATATATATATATATATATATATATATATATATATATATATTAGGGATGTAACGGTATCAGAATTTCACGGTACGGTAATACCTTGGTATGAATGTCACGGTACAGTATTTATTGAATCATTTACAGGAAAAAACAAAACTTATGAAAATACTCCAAAAAAGTGCCAAAAGTGTCAATGACATACAAATTAGCCATCTATCTGTAAGCTTTGAAACAGGAACTTCAATTTTAATAACAAAAAAATATTAAACCATGTAAAAAAATTAAGTTTCAATTTAGTAGTGTTGAAAACTCATCACATTCAACATTTAATCACTCACTCACTTAGACAGAGATGGGTTTAAAGGAAAATTATCATATAAATATAATCTGGTAAAAGCTGGTGTCTCTGGGTATTTACAATGTCCCCTACAACAGAAAAAAACCCTCACATTTGGGACTGAGGTTTCTGGGACAAGAGAGATATGACTTGGCCCAGGTTGACAGCAGTGGGTAACGTTGTGCATTGTCTTTCCCCCGCTTGAGAGGACAAACCATGAGTGAGATAGAGATCTCATGTCTGCATCAATCTGAACAGTGTGCTGTGTTTCTGCAGTCCCCATGACTGATTATTAGTCGTATTCCCCAACTTGCAGGCACGTGCACACACAGTGCTCAACCTGTGCAGTGCACATGCCCTTTTTAGTCTTGGATAGAAAGTTCCCTTCCAAAATGATCAAAAGTGCCCCCGCGACGCGACATACCCTCCGTCCCCGCTTTACAGTACGCGCGCGACAACACAGCTGATAAGAACTCGCGCGACAACACAGCTGAAAAGAACTCGCACGACAACACAGCTGAAAAGAACTCGCGCGACAACACAGCTGAAAAGAACTCGCGCGACAACACCACTATTCAGTACGCGTGCGGCGACAACACCCGCTTTAGGGTTTTCCAGCTCTTTTTGATCCCTGCTTCTAGCAGCACACTCCATTTCCGCATTACTGGATCTGTAGCGACAACAGACCGCAAGGGATTATGGCCAAGCCTGGGCTGATGGGAATTGTAGTTTCCGGTACCTCCCGTTCGCTTCATTCGCCTGAGCAAATTTTCTCAGAAGACAAATTAATATTGCGGTATGACGGTATTTACAATACCGTTACATCCCTAATATATATATATATATATATATATATATATATATATATATATATATATATATATATATATATATATATATATATATATATATATATATATATATATATATATATAAAATCCTGAACGATTGTAGCATGTCAGACTGCATGAACATGGCTCCCATGTCGCACTGTAAGATCTCAGCTGTCATAAAATCAGACTGAACGACAATAAAGAAGCACCAAACACAGAAGAAAAAAAAAAAAAAAAAAACACCCCCGGAGTTTGCCGTCATCCACCTGTGACACTTTCACTATCCCACGTTCTGAAATGATTCCTCAAAGCAAACATAAGCAATCTGTAGTGGCAATTTTGCACGCAGCATGTGTCAAATAAAACCAGGAAGAAAAAACTGATGTGACATTTCCCCGTGGTCATTTGAATTGACGCATGGATTGCGCCATAAAATTTGGAGCTTCCATTGTTTCTTGGATTGACGCTCATCGCAGCGGTTGTCACATTGCAGGAAAGTGTCTGAAATCTTCTGACACTGCCAGAACTTCTTTAAAGGAAAAATCTAATCGCATGTCAAACCAACGATCAGAGATTACCGATTTAGCCTGGGATTTCAGGAATCTTTTAGGATTTCACAAATTTGTTTCAGATGACAAAATCGTGGCTGAAATCTCACAGTGCGAGCAGGGCTTGAGTTAACCATAAATAATTAGTGCTTTTGTTTTAACTAATGCTTAATTGTGAACAAAAAAATAATGCTTAACTAATGCATCATTTTGAACCCCTAAAATAAAGTTACCCAATTTTTGGATGTTTTGCTCTTTAGCAGCACAAGCATTCTCTTATTAAAAACACATATTTACATATTATATAGCTAAATCAGTATTGTCAAGTTGTTTTTGTCTTTTCGAGTTTTATTTTGAAAGCCATTTGTCGTAGTTGTCGACCTTCTCATCAATGAGACTCTATCAGACTGGAGGTTTTGAACATCAGAAAATAGACTTTATTCTCCATAATAAAGCCAAGAAAGTGCAGAGCAGACCTCAGAGCATTCTGAAGTTGCTCCTGGACAATTTTCTAAAGTCTCTGTGTTTTCCACAATCTTTATACAGATTATTTGACATTATTTGACACACCTAGGCGTCTCGTTTTACCTCCTGACCATCCTTGGATAAGTTTTTACCCTAGGTGGTCCTGTTATTCTTGGCTCTCTTCCAGCTTGCTAAGGTCAACAGAGATGTCACAGGTCTATGTCAGCAACTGTTTTGACACCAGAGCATAGATACAATTTATGTAAAAAGAACTAAGTGATGGTACATTAACTTGATAATATGTTACTCACTGTAGCTTCTATGCATATGACTTCATATGAGTATTTAACATATATAATCAGTGCTTTCAAAATCGGTCATTCTTCAGCATAGCCTTCTTCTAATGTTGTTCCTGTGCAGGCTTCTCATCTTACACAAACCCAGTTTAGCCTAACTCATATTTGGCTCATGTTTACTGCATACTTATTGAAAATGAGAGAATGATTTAGACCTTATTTAGCTTTTCAATAAATCTTTTTTAACCCTATCATTAGTTAATTAGTCATTCTATTGGTCTTCAAGATGCAAGCATGGCATGATGTGATCCGTTTTTCTGGTTTTAGTTACAGATATCAGCTTATGAGGATTCAGTGGCTGCTCATCTCACAAAGATTCTGAACTCAGATCAGCACTCAGTGGTCATATCTTCATCAAAGTAAGTCCTCTCGCATTTTACACTCCATATTAGCAAACAGAAACAACGGTAAAGACAACATTGGTCTCTTCTTCTACAGAGTATTGTGTGAGACGGTGAAGGAATTTGTGTCAAGAGTTGGAAAGTGTTACGAGAGAGGCAGCGACAGCTCAGAAGAATCTGATGCACTGGCTCTCAAAGTGAGTCTCTTATAACTCTAGGTTATAGCCATAAATACAGTAAGTGCAGAAATATGGTTTACATTCTGTAAATGCTATTCAATAATGTCACAGCATTGCCATTTATTGTCTTTGCAATACACTGAAAAAAAATATTCATTAGATTTACTAAAATGTTTTAAAGTGGTTGCAAACAATTTATATAGGCTGAATTTAAACAATCAAATTAAATTAATGTTCAAATTAAATTGGATGTTTAAATTCAGCCCATTTAAATAGTTTGCAACCTTAAAACAATTTAGTAAATTCAATGACTCTTTTTCAGTGTATTGTAGGACAATCAGTATAAACTAGTTTAACGTTAAAGTGCCTGGAAAGAAATATGCATTAAAGGCTAATTAAAAAAAAAATATTTTGTCTATTATGTGATCTATGTGATGTTACAGTAGCTTAATTTACTCTGTAAAAAATGCTGGGTTCCACACAATTCATTCATGTTGTGCCAATACAAATCGATTAAGTTAACAAATTTAAGTAGATTGAACATAAAACAATTAAGTGGTCCCAATAGAATCTCAAGAATTGTGTTGTTTCAGCTCAACAAGCAGCAAAAATATATATTTTTGAGTGTACCGCATAAACACAGCAACATTTAAAGGTGTTAAAGGATTTTTGGAAAATGTTGAAAACCTGTAACCACTGACTTCATAGTATTTGTTTTTCCTACTATGCAAGTCAATAGTTACAGGTTTTCAGCTTTCTTCAAAATATTTTCTTTGGTGTTCAACATTAAAAAGAAACGCATAAAGGTTTGAAATCACTTGTGGGTTAGTTAAGTTGAATAATCGAACAACAAATGTTACAAAATACGTTATAAAGAATGTATTTGTAATCTGTATTTTAAAAGTAACCTATCCAACCTGGTTTGTACCCAGTGTGCAATGCTGAATGAGAAGCTGGAGTCACTCCTGCAGACGTTAAATTTGGAGGCTCAGGTCCTGTCGCCCACAGCCCTTACCACACCACCCATCGTGGAGGAGGAGGTGGAGGAGGAAGAGCTGGAGGAGGAAGACGAAGATCTGAGCGAAGAGTCTCTAACAGAGTTGAAGGAGAACGAGACGGAGAAAGGATCCGCTCATAAACTCTTCAGACCCAGAGAGCAGCTGGTGCTGAGGGCCAACAGCCTGAAGAAAGCCCTCAGACAGATCATCGAGCAGGCTGAGAGAAGTATGATTCTTTAGCTCATCCTCGTATGTCTTTTTGAATACATGGACAAAAACAGAACGCTGTTTTGTGTATAGATGATGAAACATGTAACTTAAATAGGTCATTATACTGTATATACAGTAGGTTAAAGGGATAGTTTACCTACAGTATAAATGGCAGTTCTGTCATTTACTCACCCTTCAATCCTGTATGAGTTTCTTTCTTCTGTTAAACAAAAAAGAAGATATTTTGAAGAATGCTGGAAACCTGTGACCATTGACTTCCATTTAATTTGTTTTTTATTGCAAATTGCTGGATTTCAGCATTCTTCAAAATATCTTCTTTTAAGAGGAAAGGAAATCAAAAAGGTTTTAGGGTGAATAAGTTTAGATTTTTGGCTGAACTATCCCTTTAACATATTTGGGTTCAGGTCTGCGTGATGTTCTTGATTTATTTTCTTTCAAATGAGGGATCAATATGCAATATTATGTTGATAAAATGACAACAAAAGCAACACAGAAACCAAACCTGACTAGATTTTCAAAAGTATGTCACACCATTTTATGCAGCATAGCATCTTTAGTTTGAAATCTGAGCAGACATTGACTCACTTTAGAGCTTTAATCGGCTCTGTAAAAATTACTTTACATCATTAATTAATTATTAATTACATTATTCATTATGTTGTGGGCAACAGATGTCCTGGCAAGTATAGCAATACAGGTTATTTTGACCTTGTAAAGTTTTTTTATATCCTCATCAGGAAAATGGCTTATAAATCACACCGAATTAAGTCATTCAAAAAAAAAGTGAAATTACAGAACCCCGGCTGGGTCAGTTAGGTTTTGTGGAGTTTGCATGTTCTCCCTGTGTTCATGTGGGTTTCCTCCGGGTGCTCTGGTTTCCCCCACAGTCCAAAGACATGCACTATAGGGGAAGTGAATAAAATAAATTGTCCGTAGTGTATGTGTGGGAATGCAGAAGTGCATAAGTGTTTTTCAGTGATGGGTTGCAGCTGGAAGGGCATCCGCTCTGTAAAACATATGCTGGAGAACCTGGTAGCTCATTTCATTGTGGCAACCCCTGATTAATAAAGGGACTAAGTCGAAACGAGAATAAAAGAATGAATAATTACATCATTCATCATGGGTCTGCACGGTGGCACAGAGGGTAGCACGTTTGCCTCACAGCAAGAAGGTCACTAGTTCGATCCTCAGCTGGGTCAGTTGGTGTTTCTGTGTGGAGTTTGCATGTTCTCTCCGTGTTCGCGTGGGTTTCCTCTGGGTGCTTCGGTTTCGCCCACAAGTCCAAAGACATGCGTTATAGGTGAATTGAGTAGGCTAAATTGTCTGTAGTGTACAGTATGTGTGTGAATGAGTGTGTATGGGTGTTTCCCAGTAATGGGTTGCAGCTGGAAGGGCATCCGCTGTGTAAAACATATACTGGATAAGTTGGCGATTCATTTCGCTGTGGCGACCCCGGATTAATAAAGGGACTACGCGGAAAGGAAAATAAATGAATGAATAATCACATTAGTCATCATGTTGTAGGCACCAGATGTATAGTAATACCAGTTATTTTTGACCTTGTGGGGACATTTGTTTTATTTCCCATGAGGAAAATGGCTTATAAATCACACAAAATGATAAATGTTTTCTGTGAGGGTTTGGTTTAGGTTTAGGGTTGAGGGAAGAAGACAGAATATAGTATCTGCAGTAGAAAAATCATTGTGTCTGTGGGAAGTCCCTATAATGATAGCTATATACATTTGTGTATACTGTACATGCAGCTCGTTTTTATATTAAATACACAATAATAAATATATAATGTTTCATGTTTTCAAACCTTAAATATTGCAATTTATATTTATTATATTCCATGTATAATTAAATTCAAAATTCTATTTAAATTGTATTTGTTATTTATTTGTTTATTTGTGTGTTTATTTATTATGTACATATTTCTCCCAGTATTTAAGTTTCAAACATGGAATATTTTATTATGTGAACATGAATGCATACTGACATTGTACATTATATTAAGCCATTTCTTGTATATTTTCAAATTATGTGAATTCATAATTATACAAAGTGATAATGGCTATATTTTGTAAATTTGATATATATATATTTTTTATGTATTAAAATAAAATAAATCCTTTTTTTTATTAAAATAATTACACCTGGGAAATAGAGGCCACGTAAATGGTTTGTGAGCACAATTAAATGCACACAGCATGCCATATTATCTGATAATTGTAAGTAATAATTCCAAAAAACAACTGACTGTGTTAAGCCACATAAAACAAAACGAAATTATGATGTATATGCCGAGTTTAACGGCTAATCAGCCGGAATCAGCTGAGGTAAAGTGACGACGACCAGCGAGACCCAGCTGTCACTCAAGTGGCCACGCCCTTAATTATGCAGACTAAATATAACGTAATATAAAGGAAATGGATGAGTTAGAAAAAAAACGCACCCCCTCACAGTTATCATGAAGGGTAATATTAGCTATATGAACCAAAATCATTCCTTGTACCAGGCTGTAAACACCTTTTTTTCTGCTGTAAAGTTGGCCATTTTAACAGTGGGGTCAATAGAAATTTGCTCTGTTATGGAGCCAGGACTAGCAGAATTTCGATGAGTTGCAGTTTCAGTTGAATTCAACAGAATTCAGTTTCAGGGAGAGCGGAAGGTTGCCGCTTGATCAAAACAAACATACATTTATTTTTTGTTTATTTTAAATGCATAAAAAAAGACATATTTTTTATTAAAATAATTTAGGAATGCCATATGGGACATTGTTTTAGTGATTAAATAAATCAGAGGTTTAAATTGATTCATTGTAAGAGACAATTAAAACAGCACGTGAGCAAACACTACAGTATGTAGATCAATAAATAAATCAAGAATAAGTAAATCAATAAAATGGCAATAATTATAGCAAGCTGATGTAAAAGCAAGGCTCTACATTAAAAAAGCCCAATTCGTTTATGTTTCATAGCTGAAGCAATTCACAAGAAAGCATTCTGAAAATACATTAAAAAAGTTTATGTTCACAAAATTGCGTCATTTATAAACCCAAGCAAAATATAGACTATTACGTATGTTATATAAATATTAATATATGCCATATATTCCCCAGCCCTACAGTATTCATTATTCAGCTTTCCACATGAAGAAGTACATGAGTGTTGTGTTTGTGTGTTTTCTGTAGTGGTGGATGAACAGAACGCACACACAGAGGAGCAGGAGCTTCAGTCTCCTTCTGACTTCAGGAAGGACAGCGAAGAGGAAAACAAAGACAACGAGAAGGACGAGGACACTAAAGAACTCGAAACTCTGCCTTGTGAGTTCACAGTTGTATATCTCAGACAAGCCGTCGCTGTTTAATCTTTCCTTTGTTCTTGCTTGTTCTTGGCCTTAAACGTTAAATTCTCTGTTGTTGGGCCATGCTTCAGTTTCTTCATGTTTTTGTCTTACCGGAATCATTTGTGCATTAAAGAAACACTCTTCTCTTGTTTTTTTGGAAATAGGCTCATTTTACAACTCCCTTAGAATGCACTGTAAAAAGCGATTAGTTGACTTTACTTAAAAAAAGAGAGTAAACTTATTGCCTTATAATTATTAAAGAAGCAAACTACATGTAAAAAGATATAAGTTACTTAAAGCGTGTAAACAAATTGGCTTAAAAGCAACAAGCTGACTTCACAAAGGTAATGTAAGCAAACCCTTTGTAATTTGGACCTGTTAAGCTGACTTAATTTTAAAATTAAGCTAATTGTACTCACTTTTTCAAAGTCAACTAATCCCTTTATACAGTGTCAGACTATTTTAGCATGTTTTTTTTCAAATAATTATTTTAATATTACATACTTTGTGCTTCATTAAGCTTATAAAATCTGCCGTTATAGCCTATATTGAGTTTAGAAGACATGCTGGAGTCTGGAAGAGAAGATTTATTTTAGTTACTGTATGTCATTTTGCTAGATAGAGAAAAGCTGGGGGAAAACAAATATAATGAAGATGTATTGGAAAACGGGATTAGTTTACTTTTATTTAAAAAAAGTGAGTACATTTTGCATAATTATAAAAAATAAGTCAACTTCACAGTTCCGAGTTATAATGGGTTTATTTTTGTAAAGTTAACTTGTTGCTTTTAAGGCAATGGGTTTACTCACTTTTAAAAAAGTAAAGTGTAATCGCTTTTTACAGGGGAGTTAAACAATTGAGATTTACCATTTTTGAATCCATTCAGCCGATTCGCGAGTTTTCACTTTCACTTCACTTCACTTCATTTCACAATTCACTTTTAGCTTAGCTTAGCTTAGCATAAGTTATTAAATCGAATTAGCATCATATTGGTATTTAATTGTTATTTTTTATTTTTTATTTAAAGCTTGTCTCTTTTGTAGTTACTTTGTATACTATGACAGACAGAAAATTAAATAGTGCTGTTTTCTAGGTCGATGTAGCTAGCAATTACTCTCATTTTAGCACAATAATAAAAGAACTTTGTCGCCGTATGATGCTTAATAATAGTCCCCAGCTAGGTAACTAGGTAACATCGCTGCTTAATATCATTGCGACTGCTGCAGCCATTATACGGCAGAAAAGTTACTTGATTATTACTCTGGAATGAGCCACAAGTGGGCAAAAAAAAAAAAACTGATTTGGGCAACATTTGCCTATAGTGTGAATGTAGTCTGTGTGAATTTCAGCTATTTTCACTATACAAGCTATAATGACTTTTTAATTTAAATGCAGTTTATTTTCTGGAATAGAATACATTCAGTTGCACTAAGAAATTCTATTTACATGACCTTTTATGACTGACAGTAATGTCATGTTTTTGTACATCTCTTTTTAGACTTTTTATATAATCAGACTGTTCAAAAATGTATTTTTTTTACACCAAATTGTATTCAAAATACTAAATAATGTGACTAAATAATGTGTACTAACATGTAAAATATATTAGACTGTCTTTTTGAATACATAGACAAAAACAGAACACTGTTTTGTATATAGATGACAAATTATGTAACTTAAATAGGTCATCATACTGTATATACTGTAGGTTAAATGGGTAGTTTATCTATAAATGACAATTCTGTCATTTACTTACCCTTCAATCCTGTTTGAGTTTCTTTCTTCTGTTAAACACAACAGAAGATATTTTGAAGAATGCTGTAAACCAGTAACCACTGACTTCCATTTTATTTGTTTTTTTATACTATGGAAGTCAATGGTTACAGGTTTTCAGCATTCTTCAAAAGATCTTCATTAAGAAGAAGGTAAATCATAAAGGTTTTAGTGTGAGCAAGTTTAGATTTTTGGGTAAACTATCCCTTTAACATATTTGAGTTCAACATGATGTTCTTGATTTATCTTCTTTCAAATGAGGGATCAATATATGTATTAGCAATATTATATTAATAAAATGACATTATTAAAGCATCTTTACACAGAAAAAGCAGCACAGAAACCAAACCTGAGGCAGCATCAATTTTCAAAAATATGCCACATCATTTAATACGCCATAGCATCTTTAGTCTGAATTCTGAGCAGACATTGACCCACTTTAGGGCTTAAATCGGCTCTGTAAAAGTTGCTTTACATTATTAATTAATTATCAATTACATTATTTGTCATGTTGTGGGTGCTGTATGTCCTGGCAAGTATAGCAATACCAGTCAATTTTTAACCTTGTAGAGTTTTTTTTTTTTTTTTAGTAAAAAATATATATTAGACTGTATATTGTATGAACAGTAATTACCATTTTAACTTTTCATCAGAGATATTACACAGCAATCTTAGTCATATGTGCTCTTTTAAAAGGGCAGAGTGTGAATTTTGATGTAGCTTTTGTTGGCGGATCTGTAATGGGCTTGTGGCTGAAAAGGTTAGAGCTGCCCTCTAGTGGCATGTATACTAAATTTCAATTAAAGAAATAATAATAATTCAGGGGGGCTAATAATTTTGACTTTAACTGTATTCATATATTCTGTTTTTATTGATTATATATTTTATACAAGCTTAAGGTCTCTTTCATATATTGTAAATTCTATTCTTTATGGTTAAAAGGTATATTTTTACCATAAAAATCTACAGTATAGTTCAAAAATTAAAACAATATAAAGTTTATTGTATTGTAGAATATTAATATATGATATACTGAGTTTTAATTTAGCTGATGTTTTGTTGTGTGTTTGTATCGTGCAGTGGCAAAGTCTCCATGTTCTCCTCCAGAGAGACGCATCAGTCGCAGCACACAGTCCTGCGGATCCTTCTCCATCACTCCCTTCACCACAAGCAAAGAGAACCTGCCCGTTCTCAACACCCGCATCATCTGTCCCGGTATGAGCACATCTGACTAATGAAAACTGTTTGCTGTGCAGCTGCTGCCGGAGCCACATCACAATATATAGGATTTGGATATATTTTGAATGTAGTTTATTATTCTCACTCTAATCAGGGCATGAAATTAACCTTTTTGCTTGGTAGAACCGGTGCTCCTAACTTTAAAAATTTGACGCATCAGCCAAAATTTTGTCGCACCCACCAGTTATAAGCACCGTTACTACAAGTTTTATAAAAACAGATGTATTGCATTTGAAATCAACAGTAATCAAACTGGCAAGCAATATATATATGCAAGCGTAAGGAAAATATGTCTCAAGAAATCCCGTTATCGCAAGAAAATACATTTTATAACACACCTGAGTGACTAAAGCATATTGAAGGACAATTTTAGTTTAGTTCACACTTCATCTATTTGTGCTAGACACACCCTATTACAATGCAAAGTACTACATAGGATTAATTTCACTAATGACAAACTCTAAAATTCTTCCTGACAGAAGCGATGCCTGTAACAGATATTAACAGTTACCGGCTGATTGCCTTCACATGTTTTGACATGTTTGACACGTTTGCTGTCCCAAAATATTATAAATGTTTCTCAAAATTAAATATATTGTGTTCAAAGGGTAAAAAAGATTTAGTTTTTTACCCAGACATTTTAAAATAACTTATTTTAGATTAGTAATCGTAAACTTTTTTTTAGTAATTAGTAAACTTTTATTTAAGGTTATCATACCATCAGAATCTTATACCAGCCCATGGCTACTCCTGACCCTCTGAGTGTACATTTTGGTTATTATATTCCAACCCCAACTACACAGACATGTTTCCCCTCCATCATCAGAAAACTGGATTAGAGAGGTTCTACATTTTATCTATCTTGAGAAACTGAGACATTGTTTAATAGGATCACTGAACTCCTTTAACAAAAGTCCCATACTGTCTGTCATTGAGAAATGTAACATTACAGGACCTACTGACTAAAACTACAAAAGGGAGAAAGAGAGACTTTTAGTATTCACTTTATTATTTTTTTCTTTTATATCTATTTATTATAATTGATTAATTAATTTGTTTGTTTGTTTTTATTTATTTAATTAATGTATTTATTCATTCAATTTTTTTATTATTTATTAATCTGTCTTGATTCATCTTTGCATAGTTATTGAAGGCCTCAGGAAACAGTGAGGGATGGTGCTTAGAAGGGGTAGAAAAGATTAGATTTGATTTAAGAGTTCTGCAATTCTCTTGTTTTTGGTGTTTCTATATATTTCATGTAATCTCTTTGCTCATAGGACTTCTATTTTTTATATACATTTATATGTTTGTATATTATCTAGAAAAAACGCAATCAAAAATATTAAAAGGAAAACACAATTTCCGGTTACGCAGTGGCGTAGTAGGTTGTGCTGTCACTTTACAGCAAGAAGGTCGAATGTTGCATGTTCTCCCTGCGTTCGTGTGGGTTTCCTCCGGGAGCTCCGGTTTCCCCCACAGTCCAAAGACATGCGGTACAGGTGAATTGGGTAGGCTAAATTGTCCCTAGTGTATGAGTATGAATGAATGCGTGTGGATGTTTTCCAGAGATGGGTTGTTGCTGAATGGTAATCCGCTGCATAAAAACGTGCTGGATACGTTGGCGGTTCATTCCGCTGTGGCGACCCTGGAATAATAAAAAGACTAAGCCCTGGAGGATGACAATCGAAGCAAACGATATGTGATGGGATGTCTTTTCTCCTGTCATAATCAACGCAGGCTCACAGTATTAGCCTAAAAAAGTAAAAACAGTTTGCTGCAACAAATAAGTGAATTTGTACAGACCCCTTCCTAAACAAAACCCCATGGCTATAAAAACTTATGATTGCCTATTTTGCCCTTTCAAAACACTTAAGGACACCTTACAATATGTCACAAGCACATCATAAAAATACAAAAAGTAAGGAAAAAAAGAATAGTTGACAGGATATTAAACCAGGAAGTCATTAAAAGCAATTCTAAAAGGAAACTTTTTTACATGAGATTTAAAATTGGAAACTGAGTCCACCTGACAAATATGCAATGACATGAGTTCCTGTGCCACCAAAAGCCCTGCCACTAAATGACATTCATATTAATATTTGGAACCGATAACAATTCAGCAGATCTCAGTGAGCACAAAGGAGTTTACCAATAAAGAAGATCAGAGAGATAGTTAGGTGCCAGATTATGAAGAGCTTAGATTTCTATATTGTACACGATAGTGAACAGGAAGCCAGTGCAGGTGAAAGATTGAAAACTGAAAGTGCTCATAGATGTTGTTAGTTTGGACAGTAGATGTGAATGAAGCTGACCTACTACTGTTCTTTCCAATATTTTTGAAACAAAAGGTTGGCAATTGGCCTAAAATTGTTTAGACCATTGGGACCAGCAGTCTTTTTAAGTATAGTAGTGATTGGTGCCATTTTTAAAGATGAAGGAATGGTAGCAGTAGATAGTGAAGAACAGACTATGAATGTTATAAAAGAAGAGTGAGTTAATACAGGACCTAACTAAAATAATCGGTAGGGAATCAAGCGAACAGGTAGAGGTCTTAGACTTTAGGATCTCCCTAGTAATGAAATCAACTGTGGACAGTACAAAATTAGAAAGACTGACCTGATAATGTGAGTATGATCATAGTGATGATCACGAGAAATCAAAACAGAGTTAAGCAATTCATAAGGCGGGATTTCTTTCACTGTGGTGGACATACTGAGCATTGCACTTTTCCCCATTTATAGTGAACCGTTTTTGTACACCTATAGTCTTTGCCAATGGATACTTATGAATTATTTTGCCAATCATACAGTTATCGCAATAAATACCAGAACATATTGTTAATATTGTAAATTATTGTAAATATTGTTAAAAAATACTGTATATTTTTGAGTCCATATTGCCAATCTCTACTTGCTGATCATTGTTGGAAATCTGTATTTCTGTTCTGGTCTTCAGGTCTGCGGGCAGGTCTCGCTGCCTCCATCGCTGGAAGCTCTATAATCAGTAAAATGCTGCTGGCCAACATTGATCCGTTTGGTGCCACGCCATTCATAGATCCTGACCTAGATTCACTGTAAGAGCTCCTGCTTCTTCCTTCATGTTAAAGTTCTTGTTAAAGCCCTCCCCAAAGCTAACATGGGTCATTTTATTCACAGAGAGGGCTATTTGGAGAAGTGTGTGATGAATAACTACTTTGGGATCGGCTTGGATGCAAAGATCTCACTGGAGTTCAACAACAAGCGTGAGGAGCATCCGGAGAAGTGCAGGTACTTTACAAATTTAGCAAGAATTTAGTTTTATACCGAAACAGTAACAGGGATTAACTAGTTTACTTCTGACTATGCAGGAGTCGCACTAAAAACATGATGTGGTATGGTGTTCTGGGGACAAAAGAGTTGCTGCAGAGGACTTATAAGAACCTGGAACAGAAAGTTCAGCTGGAGGTGAGCTGAATTAAATGTTTTTTTAACACCATATCACACATGGATTAAATATTATATTATATTATATTATATTATATTATATTATATTATATTATATTATATTATATTATATTATATTATATTATATTATATTAGAGCTGAACAAAGCAATTAAAAAATAAAATTCAATTAATATGTGAAAAAATATCATAGATTTCTTATGTAATATATAATATATTTAAACTTAGTCAATTCACAAAATAGTGATAGTAAGGTAATCTTAGAAAATTAATACTAAATAAAACAGATATATATGGGGCAAATGTTGAACCAATTTGTGCGTATGGTACTTTTATTTTACATCAATAAATATGGAAACGGTTGATCATCTGTTGGTTATTAACTTGTGTAACAAGGTTTAAACAGTCCATTAATGTATTTTACTTTGTGTATGAATTGAAAGCAAGTTTCTTGAATGTCAAAATATATGAAAGGTTCTTGTTCTTTACTATTCTTTTACATATGATTGCAATCAATATTTGATCTATTTTAAACTCAGGGTATTCACAGTGTCTTAAAATGTCTTACTTTTCTCAAACAAAATTTTAGGCCTTAAAAAGTCTTAAATTCACTGTAATTATGTCTTTTAGGTCTTAAATCAGTTTAAACGGGTGCTAATTTTCCTTGTTTATAACACATCCAATCACCAACAGCACATCTCAAAACTATTCATAACTAATATTATAACAGTCTGTTGTGTATACATTTAGTGTATCTATGAATACAACTAAGGTCTGCTTATGCACCATGGTGTGACGCAACTGACTCTTAAAGGGAATGAGAGATGAGACTCTGATGTGTTTAATGCATGTTCTGGCTCCTCATGGTTGTTTGATTTGGTTTTTGCAGTGTGATGGCCAGTATATCCCACTCCCAAGTCTCCAAGGAATTGCTGTGCTGAACATCCCAAGCTATGCTGGGGGAACCAACTTCTGGGGCGGCACCAAAGAGGATGATGTAAGTCCTGGTGGTGGAGGTCATGAGGGCCTTTTCACTTCAAACAGCATTTTACATCCTGACCCTGAGCTCTGCAACCCTGTTTGAAGCCAGTTATGAGATGAAATATGACACTGTGTGTAGAGGAAATGATGTGGAGTTGTGTAATTAAAGCGTATGAGCTGGTCCTGGGTTGAGTGGTGTTGTCTAACATGCAGCTGGCTCCGAACAAAACCTTCTGAACCCGGGTGACACGAGTCTTTGTTCACAACAAGTGGCCTATTGGCAGCTTGTTTGTTTTAGCTCACATGGCCTCGTTCAGAATGAGGTTACCTCCGGACGTGGTTTGTGTTCTTCATGGTAGAGTTACAGAGGGACAGAGTGCCTGTGATCCTAGACAGGACGTTCAGGACTCAGAAATGTCCTCGTGTTCTCTAAGAAAGATGGAAAAGTGTTTAAAGGGTCATATTATGGATTTTTGGCAATTACCTTTCATGCAGTGTATAACACAGCTTGATGAAACCATTCTATCTATCTATCTATCTATCTATCTATCTATCTATCTATCTATCTATCTATCTATCTATCTATCTATCTATCTATCTATCTATCTATCTGTCTGTCTGTCTGTCTGTCTGTCTGTCTGTCTGTCTGTCTGTCTGTCTGTCTGTCTGTCTGTCTGTCTGTCTGTCTGTCTGTCTGACCAACCGTCCGTTCGTCTGTCTATCTACCAATCTGTCTAAGCTTCTATCTATCCGTCTGTCTATGCATCTATCTATTCGTCTATCTATCTATTTATCTATCTATATATCGATCTATCTGTCTGTCTGTCTGTCCGTCCGTCCATCCATCCATGTACATAATTATCTATGTACTGTATCCATCCATCCATCTATCTCACTCTAAAACTTGTATGCACTATTATGATTTGCACTACACATCCACCTGACCAAAAGGACCGTCAGTCAGCTGCTGTGTATATGATTATTGGAATATAATATTATTTTTTTGCTTATTTTTTTAGGGATATTCCTATTGAAATTTCAAAGCCAATGCTATGAAATTTCATTCTGTGTACACTAGTCAATGTGAATGACATTTAAGTCAAGTCAAGATGCATACACCTCCCTTAACACCTAGGCTGCATCCAAAATCACCTACTACTTAGTAGGTACTGCATTTGAATTTAAATGTACTACTCGACTGTTGGAAAAGTACGTTCTATACTGTATGAATTGAACTGGGATGTACTACATGCAGTATCGTCACATGACCTACCCCCATGACCTGTCAGTAGCGTCGCTTCACTCCCATTCATGAATTATGTTGTGGTGTACCATGGGATAGCGTAGTGTCCATCGGATGCGGACTTCACAATATTACCAGAAGAAGTTGGTAATTCGCATAAAGATTTTAGCGTACTATATAGTATGTAAGTATGCAATTTTAGACTCTACCCTACTATAGATGCGCATGATGTAATCATTGTCACGGACATAACAATGGAGGCGTTTTCAAAAACCTTTACTTTAATGGTATTAAAGCGGCCTATTATTGTGGCCAGCCAGAGGCACACATGTGCAATAATCATGTTGTCTAATCAGCATCTTGATTTGCCACAAATCAACATTTTCTGTGAGGTGGATGGATTATCTCAGGAAAGGGGAAGTGATACACAGATTTAGACAAATGTGTCAACAATATTTGAGAGAGATAGACCTTTTAGTTTTAGATCCTTGAGTTTGGCTCATGAAAAATGGGAGCAAAAACAAGTGTTTTGTTTATAATTTTGAGAAAATTTAGCTAGTTATTTTCTCAAAAACACTAATTGTCCTGAAATGTAATGAGTTTATTGTCAATTTTATTTCAAAGTTTTTTTTGTTTTTGATTTATTTTTCACAAGTTTAATCTTGCATAATGATTACTTTAATCTCAAAATGATTTTTTACTTCTTTTTTTTTAATTATTGCTTCACTTAAATCTTGAGATGAGATACATTTTTATTATTGCTTGGGTGTATAGAGCCCTCTAGTGGCGAACTGAACTATTTTTTAATTTTGTCTTCATGCAGATATTTTGTGCCCCTTCATTCGATGATAAAATTTTGGAAGTGGTCGCTGTGTTTGGTAGTATGCAGATGGCTGTCTCAAGGGTGATTAAACTGCAGCATCACCGTATTGCACAGGTAAAAACAACCCATAAATGACATAATTTTGTTTTGTATGCAAATGCTGGTAAAGGAGTTTATATTGTAATTTGATTTAACCCTTCCAGTGTCGCACGGTGAAGATCACAATCCTGGGGGATGAAGGAGTGCCTGTCCAGGTGGATGGTGAAGCCTGGATTCAACCTGCTGGAGTCATCAAGATTCAGCACAAGAACCGGGCCCAGATGCTGACAAGAGACCGGGTAAGTGTTTCTAGTGAATAATCTTGTTTTTTTTTAAATTTATTTACAAAGCATCATTTAAACAAAAATCTTGAGCATACTTCTGACAAACAGAAAATTATTATGCACTATTGTTAACAATGATAAAGTTATTATTATTGTTTACTTTTGAAGGAACACTCTTTTTTTGGAAATAGGCATATTTTATAACTGTTCTAGTGTTAAATAGTTGAGTTTTATCATTTTTGAATTTATTCTCCGGGTCCGGAAGGAACACTTAGCTTAGCATAAATCATTGAATCAGATTAGACCATAAGCCTCTTGCTCAAAATTGTAAAAAAAAAAAAAAAAAAAAGTTTAGATAATTTTCCCATGTAAAGCTTGGCTCTTCTGTAGTTACACTGCGTACAGAGACTGACTGATAATGAAAAGTTGCTATTTTCTAGGTTAATATCGCTATAGGAACTAGAATTTCATTCTGCGATAATAATTAAGGAACTTATTATTGCATGTGCAATAATATTATGTAGTGCTTTACCTAGTTACCTAGCTGGAGGCCATCTTCAGGCTCTGTATAATATAATTTAGTTTCAATCTCTCTGACATTTCACATGACAAATCACAGGATGTTTTACAGTACAATGACCAAAAAATCAAAGGCATTTATATTTTTCAGTCAGTGACCCCCTAGTGTTCCTGGTATAATTGGGCATTAACAGTAAATGACATGTTTTTTCTAAAGGGTTAGTTCACTCAAAAATAAACATTTTATTATTATTTCTCAACCTCATCTTTTGCAACCTCCCGAGACCTTTATTCATCTTTTGAATATAAATGAAGGTATTTTAGATGAAATCTGAGAGTTCTCTTATCCACCATAGACGGCAAAGGTCCTGAGATGTTCAAAGACTAGAAAAGGGCCCAAAAACATTGTCAGAACATTTCATGTGACTTCAGTGGTTCAACTGCAATAATACAAAACTTGAATAACACATTTTTTTTGTGTCAAAAAGCTGTAAAAAATGAACTTATTCATAAAAACGTCTTTGTATTCATCTTTAGTTGCCTTCGTTTTGTACAGGCATGTTGCCATTAAAGTCAGTAGCACATCACACAAGCGTTGTATTGCCCATAGTAAATGTGCACCTTGATGCAGTTGTTTAGTTTTTTTGCCACACAAAAGCATTCTTAGAGCCTCATATGATTACAGAAGTAACATGGAATGTTTTGACAGTCTAAAACATCTTAATTTGTGTTCTGAAGATGAAAGGTCTCAGGAGATGGACATGAGGGTGAGTAATTAATAACGTTTACATTTTTGAATGAACTAACCCTTTAAAGACAGGAGTACATGGTTCAAATTCTGATGATAGTATGTCAATGGTATAGCATAGTCATGAGTGAATTTATGTGAAAATCATTTGGATGCAGTGATATACAACACGATTTTATGACCATGCAAATACTGAAGCACTTATTTGAAATTCCGTGCTAAAAACATGGACAGAGAAAAACATTGCACTCTGACTCCTTTTATCATAGCAACTATTAATAATAGCTCTCAATGTATACAAAATATAGGCTACAAGTTATTTTTCGCACTGGGAAATTTGTCTGCCTGCTCACCCCATGTGTAAGTGTGAATAAAGTGAATTATTACCTTGTGTCATCATCTCTGACGACTCTGTCATACATGACACTATAAGAATGGGATTTAAATACAGCAGTTCTAACTGTAGTTCTAGTGAATTACTGAAAAAGTTATCAGTATGATGGTGAAAAACTGTACATTTCAAGTCAAACTGTCCTTCTGCAATCTTATACCAAAAACGTAAATAAAGGCAGTTATAATTGCTAGATATATGGGAGAGCATTGGTTTTATGTGATTATGTTATATTGCAATATGGAGCAATCTAAAAAGTCACAGAATCCTTAAAAAGGAAATGGTTTAATAACAAAAAGGGAAGTTAATTTATAACTTTTTCACATGCTTATGATTGTTTGCACCTGGTCCCCCATTATCTAATTTATTATTCACCTCTCAGACGATTCCTAAGCCACTATAAATAGTTTAACAAATTATAAATAAAAAGTTCCATTTAACAGCCATCTTCATTTTGAAGAATCTCCCCTTCCACCTCTACTCATTCCCTAGATGGTTGGCCTAGTGGTTTGCACTGTTGCCTCACAGCAAGAACGTCATTGGCTTTAGTCCTTACCAAGCCAGCCGATGTTTCTATGCGAAGTTTACTCGTTTTCACTATCTGTTCATTAGCTACTACAGCAAGGGAGTTCTCAAGATCTACTTGAGGTCAAACTCCCCTCTCGCCTTGCTAATGAAAGGGAGCCCCGGGCTTGAGGATCTTTTGAGCTCAGGGCTCTCTCCCGGGACAGCATGCCAAACAAGCTTTATAATCAATCATCAGCTAAGTGTGAACTCTTGAAATGGTTACGACTGAATTAGTTACAAAATAACTATAAAATTATAAAGCATCAAGGGATACAAACATGAATATTAAATGTACCCAGAATTAAATGTGAAGAAGTTAAAAATAAAGAGAAAGAGACAGAGAGAGAGAGACAAAGAACAGAGAGTAGAGCCCAAAGCGAGAGCCAAGTAACAGTGGAGCCAGAGAAGAAAGGCTCAAAACCAGGAAAAGAACCAGATCAAAAGTTACAATTTAATTTTCTGTCTTGCTTGACCATGTGACCATTCCTGATAACTATATCATAAAACCACCAAAATCCAAACACTGTTTACCTAGGCTCTGATTTTTATCAGCACTTCTGCCTTTGGAAACGGTATAGACCTTCTTGGTAAAAAAAAATAAATAAATTTAAAAAAAACATAGTTTGCAAAAAAACAAACGCATATGATCATTTTCATCCTTTTTAACATGTCATCTGTTGAGCGCATTTGTCCTTCTGATTGGTCACCTTAAGACAGATCCCACAGATCACCTAATTCAACCGCATACTTCTCACATAAATAAACTTGACAGCTGCTGAATTTTTTTAATGTTGAAAAAAGATCGGGAGCTCTTAAACCACTCAGCTTATAACTTCCTCTCACACAGTACAAGTCACGACCAAATGAGCATTAAAGGTTCCCATCTCCCAAATTGCGTATGAGCTCGTATGGCAGGGGTGGCCAACCCTGTTCCTGGAAAGCCACCTTCCTGCAGATTTCAGTCGCAACCCATACCAAACTCATCTGCCTGTAATTATCACGTGGTGTTCAGGTCCTAATTAATTGGTTCAGGTGTGTTTGATATGGGTAGCAACTGAAATCTGCAGGAAAGTGGCTCTCCAGGAACAGGGTTGGCCACCCCTGTCGTATGGCATCAAAAATCGTCATGATAGTTTGACATCTCTAGTGGTAATCAAATCTGTTTGTAATTGTTTTTAAATATAAATGTTAAACAACTTTCTCTACATTTTCTGCAAAAACTCTCATTTAAGGCGTTTGAAAACACGTTGAAGTCTTGGGAGGATAAATTGAAATACGACAAGCCTCCGCTGCGGCCACATCTGTACCCTCAGCAGTCTGTGGATCTGGCCACAGAGGAGGAGGCCACGCTCATCCAGATGTGTGCCCGCGCTGCTGAGGATCTCATCACCAGGATCTGTGAGGCTGCCAAAAACTACCAGCTCCTCGAGCAGGAGCTCGCCCACGCCGTCAACGCCTCCTCACATGCCATTAACAAAACACATCCCAAGTTCCCAGAGGTGAGATATGTCAGCGGTGAAGAACTGTTTGTTTTGATGCTGAACTGATGTTTTTTAATCTCTAAAACCTGTTTTGATTGTTTTTGCAAAAATAACAAATGTAAAACCAGTGCTTAATTTGTGAATTGTGAGGTTCCGGAACAGATCGTGATAACGAATCCGGCATGTTACACAAGGATGTAGAGGTGTTCAAGTTAAGGCTTGTGTACAACACTTTAACTCACGAATAAAAGCAACCAGAACCACTCTTAAATCAATATCACAGAGTAAAGGGAAAGAGTGTGCCAAAATGATTTTTGAACTGTTATGCTTATAAATCATCATTAATTGTTACTTGGGACCAATAAAAGTTATCAGAGTAATAAACAAACGGTGATATGATGATTTCATATGACAGGGATCTGATTGATTAAACATTTTAAACCACTAGCAGAGCTGGCAAAAACTGAGTTGAGGCTAACCTCAAACCAGATACCACATGCAGTGTTGCCAGATTGGGTGGTTTTCCACCCGATTGGGTGGTTTTGAATTTCATTTTGCGGGTAAAAAATGGCATTGGCAGGTTGACAAAATTTGTGCAGTTTTGAAACGTAAATTTTATATGCAACTTATTTAACAAAACATAACTGTGCTCCTACTTCATTCAGTTAGTAGTGACCAGTGCATAGTGCAAACTGCTTACCCGCAAGAGGAAGAGAAGGAAAGCTGTAGCAAAACTCCCCAGACTCCCCTTCTTGTGCGCCTGCATTTACACTTTTATCAATATTTTTATCCTCAATTGACAGCAAGAACAAATATAAAAGCTTTGTCTGACTGACAAGCAGCACCTAATAATGTTCACAAGAATTTAAAAACACCAAATAGGATGAATTTAAACCCCATTTTGAAAGTAAAACATACTCTAGTGCAGTGGTTCTCAAACTTTTTTCACCAAGTACCACCTTAGAAAAAAATCGTCTCTCCAAGTACCACCTTACGACGCTATTTTTTTAACCAGTATTAAAAAATAGCGTCGTAGGCCTAATTAAGCAGCTACAGGTGTGCACAGTTTAAAAACGATGCAGATTACTTCCTATTGTTAAGAATATGTATTATTGTCAGTCACTTTAAACATTTGAAATAGTCTGAACATTAACTGTGCTTGCAGATAAAAAAAAAAGTTTTAGTTAAAATGGGCTTTTAAAAATTCATTAAAAAATGGCGCTGTTCTTAAAAAGTAAAAAGAAAACTGCTGTACTTAAATCTAAAGTATTCATAGTAGCCTATTCATCAAAAGCTGGAAATGCTGCTTGGACCTTATAAATATAGGCTATATGTCATATTCCTACACTTTCAGACAAATCTTGAAATATATGTTAAATGTACATATGACAGGGTTCATACAGGCACAGCCTAATGAAAATCAATTCCAGCACCTATTTTTTTTTTCAAGACTGACATGCTATGTATTGAAGACCTGAAATGTATTCTCAGCAACCCATAAAACATTGCATAGGAATAGATACAAATAAAAACCATTAAAAATAATATTTATTAATCATATATTAATAATATAATAAACCTGCACTAAATGCTTGTGAATTTTTTTTGTACTCAAGTAAAAATACTATTACACTGCTAAAATAACAACATTTTTAGTAAATAATGCTAATATTTGGTAAAAGTACAAAGTACTCTTTTAAAAAGTACTAGTTGGTTACTTTTGAATAAAAAAATCAGATTTTCATTATGAAATCACTTTTTTTAAGTGTAAACCTGATTTAATGGTTTGATTGCTTAAATCCCAAAGCTACGTGTATAGGAATATGCACTAACAAAGGAAGTATGGTCGATTTTTCCTTTCATGACAATTAATCTTTTTCAATAGCACTGGTAAAACTACCAAATAATCTTTGAGGCCATAGAGACACTTTTTGCCCATTTTTTAAAAAATATATTTTTAAGCTTTGAACGGTTAAAGTATATGGTAAAAAGATTTTTATTTAGCCTTTTATTTACATATTTTACACTATTTTTCTTTACAATATGGCAAATTTGTTTCTTCAATAGCTGTACATCACATGTAGATTTTATTTTACACTTGATCTTAATCTAAAATAGAAAATACAAGTACACTGTCAGTAAAAAAAATTAATAAAACAAATGACTTCATTCTACTTGAGGTATTTGAAATATGACAACAATACATTTATCAAAGCAGTGCTTTAAGAGCCTTATTGTAAATTTTGATAAATAAACAATAAGTAACAATGGATTGCTTTGATCTGTAATGCTTTAGGACAGATCAGAATACAGCTAAATGTATAAATCACACAAATACCTCATCCAGAAACATTTCCAGCATAATTCTTTTGTCGTAAAGAAATAAAAAAGCTCCACCTTTGCTAAAGTTCCACTTGACAACACAGCCAAATAAGAAGACCATTAGCATTGTTAACGATCATGCATCAATCTATTTCTAAATACTTCATAACTTTAAATACTTTTGACTAAATTTAGTCAAGGAGCAAAGATAAATAATGTCTACTTTAATAGTGGAAAGATCGCGATTGTATTCTATCTGAGCACACAGGCGATCATGAGAGCACTTGCAGTTCATTTGAAAAAAGCATATTTAAGAGCTCGCATATCTGTTTTAGTGATTTGCGTACATGAATGCGCTCTCGTGTTAAAATAAAGCACTCGCCGCATTTGCAGAAATGAGTTATTGCGCAATACCTCCATTCCCGCGCCGCCATTCAGACTGTACTTAGAGCAGTGACAGGTCAGAGGCGAGTCGACTGGCTGTCGGAGAGCGAAACGTGTTTGTAGATCATCAAAAAGGCAGGAAATATGTCCGCGGTTTAATTACTCTGCTAGACATCTCTATAGTGAAAACATCCGAGAAGCATTAATCCAACAAAACATTTGTTTTTAAGTAGTTTTTTCTGTCTCTGCAACACAGAAAGCATTTGTCCCGTCCTTACGTTTCACGCAACTAGACAAGGTCGACTGTGATTGGCTACTTTTCATGTCTGTCAAGTCACGCTTCAGAATCAATTCTTAAACTTCGGAAACTGATTTTCAGAAGCTTACGACACATTGCACTAAAATAAACATTCTAAGCACAGCGCTGTGATCGTACACTTCACAAAACAGCCAATGCTGATCACATCGATGTTATATTACACATTTGAGGATTAAAAGTGTTAATTCTTTCATTATTCAGCGATTCCTCCGCGTACCACTAGGAGGAAGCCCGCGTACCACTAGTGGTACGCGTACCACAGTTTGAGAACCACTGCTCTAGTGTGTAGTGTGATCTACACAACATTAAGTGCAGTGTGTGGGTAAGAGTGGGCAGTGTTTTGATGTGATCCGGTTCTATTGTGGTTCTGTGACTGCAGGTGTTCCTTGCTGTATGGTTAAAAATTATGACAGTTAAAGTAGATTCATTTCAATTTAAATAAATTAAAATGAAATAAAATATTAATCTAATATTTTAGGTGTGTTTGGGCAGGTTTTGGACAGCTTTTGGGCTGGAAAATGTCTGCTACGTGGCAACACTGACCACATGGCATGTCTAAAACTGAAATTTGTGCATTTTCATGATATTGTTGTTTTAAAAAGTGAATGAGAAATTCATGGTGATTACTTTTGTGTATCCTAAACATTTTTTGCAAATTAATGAAAGAAGATTAAAGAAGATGAAAGTAGTTTAATGCCGTACAGAGTTCCTTCTGGAAGTGACATCACTTCTGTCAGTGCTCTTAAGATCATTATGTCTTTTTAAAAAAGAGTTGACCAGAATGTAGGGACAGACACAAGATGTTTATCGACATTACAAATAATACAGAAAATAAATGATTTGTACATGATTTGCAACTTAAATCCTACTATTAATCTTCTGACTTAAAATTACAAATCCAACTGTTTTGTTTGCTGGATCGCATTGTTCATACTAAGTGTCAAATATGTATGTCTAAATTGTGTAAATCTGTTTTCTGCAGAGCCTGACAAGAAACACTGCCATTGAGGTGGCCAGCACCGTGAAGGCCCTGCACAATGAGACAGAGTCTCTGTTAGTAGGACGCGTGCCATTGGTAAGTTCACTGTGAAAATGAAATATAATCTTTATTGTTTATTGTTAATTTCATTTTTAATTTTCATGACAGCTAAGAGTTAAAACACAGGGGTTTAACACAGTTGTGTGGCAACAGTGTGCAAATACACTGTAGCCAGCCTCTAATGGCATAAATTAATCAATTTTATTTTTTAGAATCACACTTGATAAAAACAGTCAGCTAAAACACTTTGATTGACATTCTCCCTTAGTGCATGTAATCTAAGCTTACCAGCTGAAGAGAATTCCAGCAATTAAGACGCATTGTAAATGTTGAGTTTTACGATGCACAAACGAACAGCGGAGTGTCCATAAATTACTTTTTTCTGAGACACTTCTTTGGACATTTTCCTGTTTTGTATCTGCTGCTATGCTGATGCTCTGCCCTCATTTTAGTTTAAAGTGACAGTCACCAAAATGACACAATTTGGCTTAAAGCCTAAAAGGGGCAGTTTCAGAGAGTTATTAAAAATTATCTGTGGCATATTCTGAGCTGAAACTTCACTTACACACACGAGGAACAACAGAGGCTTATTTTACAACTTGAAGAAAGAGGAATAATAGGTACCCTTTAACATGTAGGGTTGGAAGGAAAGTGAGTGGTTGGCATTTTGAAAACATCATAGTTCCCGTATTGTTAGGAAATGTTGGTGTTCAGTTTTAACATAGACAGACTGAAACATTAACTTTTGAAAAAATATGCATTGCTATCCCCAATCACTCACTGATTGGACTTTTGGACTATTGCATATCATTTTTTCATAAATAATTGTCCATAAATATTTGGACATCAACACAATTATAATTTTGGCTCTATATAAACCAACTTGAGGTGTATATATATATAGGAATTACAACAGTTTGCTTATGTGCCTCCCACTTGTTAGGGGTCAAAAGTAATTGGACAATTAGCTTCTAAGCTGTTCTATGGCCAGGTGTGTGTTATTCCCTCATTATCCCAATTACAATGAGCAGATATAAGGTCCAAAGTTCATTTCAAGTGTGCTGTTTGCTTTTGGAATCTGTTACTGTCAAATCTCAATATGATATCCAAAGAGCTGTCACCATCACAAGCCATCATAGGCTCAAAAAACAAAACAAACCCATCAGAGAGATAGCAAAAACATTGTGGCGAAAACAACTGTTTGAAACATTTTTTTAAAAAGATGGCACCAGTGAGCTCAGCAACACCACATGACTACTGGTCATCAAGATGGTGCAGAGCATGGCTGCCGTGTTGCGAGCTCCCAGCAAACATTGTTGTGTTTTGTGTGTTTTACTTGTAGTATTTTTGTCGTTTTCGTGCTGGATGTACACACTTTCATTACCTACAACAGACACACACTTTGGGAAATTGGTTCCCTCGTTGCACATCGAAGACCGGACTTTGAGTTCTTTAATGACGTTCTGTTTACAAACACACAACAGAGCCCTTTGTCTGGGTCACACAACTGAAGCGACGAAGGAAATGCAGCCAGAAACAAAGAAAAGAGAGACGGCGTCCTCGTCAGACTAAGACGCTGTGAATTTCAACCTACACTCCCCACTATTCAGCTGGCTTATGTTCAGTCACTGAACAACAAACTTTGCGAGCTCCGGCCGCGCATTTCCTTCCAACTGGAAACAAGAAACTGCCGCATTATCTGACTCACAGAAACCTGACTATATCTGCGGAGGTACCAGACACAGCTGTTGAACTTTCGGGGTTCTCCATGTACCGTGCGGATAGAACGAAAGAACTTACAGGGAAAAGCAAAAGAGAAGTGTTTGTTTTTTTTCTAACAACTGTGTGATGAGAGCAATCATCATTTTGTTCTCCTGATCTGGAATACCTTATATTTCGATGTAAGCCATACTGGCTACCAAAAGAGTTCACAGCAGTTATCATTACGGCTGTCTTCATCCACCCTCAAGCCAACACAGAGCAGGCGCTCAGGGAACTGTATGGGATCATAAGCAAGCAGGAAACCGCACACCCGGAGGCAGCTTTTATTGTTACAGGTGACTTTAACAATGCCAATCTCAGGATAATTGCTCCAAAATCCTATTAACACATTACCACAAACATGCATGGTGACCGGATTTTGGACCATTGCTATTCCCCGTTCCAGGACGCACACAAATCCCTTCCCCTATCACTCTTCTGTTCTGCTCTTTTCTGCTTACAGGCAGAAACTGAAACGGGAACCACTCACCCTCGGGATATTTCAGAGCTTGACGGACCAATCGGGTTCTATACTTCAAGACGGTTTTGATCACGTGGAATGTTCCGGGCAGCATGTGACGACAACATTGACGTGTACTCAGACAGTTACATGCTTCATCAGGAAATGCATAGAAAAAAAACCACATGCTTGAATGACTGGTGTCCTGTTGCTCTGACAACCATCTTCAGCAAGTGCTTTGAGAAGCTGATTAAAAAGCACATCTGCTCTGTATTGCCTGCTCACACTGACCCTCTGCAATTTGCATAAAGAAATAACCGCTCAGCTGATGATAGTGACACATATGTGAGAATGCTGTTTGTGGACTACAGCCCAGCATTTAACATCATAGTGCCTGCCAAGCTGGTGATGAAGCTCCAGCTCTCTGTGCAACTGGATCCTGGACTTCCTGTCAAGCAGACGCCAGGTGGTCAGAGTGAACAACATTACATCATCCACACTGATCCTCAACACTGGTGCTCCACATGGCTGTGTTCTTAGCCCACTCCTGTACTCCCTGTACACACATGACTGTACAGCCAAACACAGCTCCAACATCATTAAATTTGCTGATGACACAACGGTGGTGGGCCTACAGAGAGGAGGTGCACACTCTGACGCAGTGGTGTGAGGAAAAACACCTCTCACTCAACATCAGCAAAACCAAAGAGCTGGTGGTGGATTTCAGGAGATAGAAGAGAGAACACACCCCCATCACCATTAAACCAGTGGAGAGAGTCAGCACTTTCAGGTTTCTTGGAGTCCACATTGCTGAGAATTTGACATGGACTGCTCACACAGATGCAGTGTTGAGGAAGGCACAACAATACCTCCTCTTCCTCAGGCATTTTAGGAGGTTTGGAATGAGCCCCCCACATCCTGTGCTCATTCTACACCTGCACTGTGGAGAGCATCCTGTCTGCCTGTATCACCACCTCGTATGGAAATAGCACCAGCAGCAATCGCAAAGGCCAACCTAGGGTTGTGCGAACTGCTGGACGTGTAGTAAGAAGTGAGCTTCCCACCCTCCAGGACATCTACACCAGGCGGTGCATGAGAAAAGCCAAGAGAATTATCAGCGACTCCAGCCACCCGATTCATAGACTTTTCTCTCTGCTACCCTCTGGCAGACGGTTCACCAGCATCCGGTCATGACTCAAAGCATACTGCAATAACAAATAGAGTATTTGAAAAGAAAGAAGTGGAATGTTATGCAATGGCCAAGTCAATCACCTGACCTAAATCCAGTTGAACATGCATTTCAATTTCTGAAGACAAAACTGAAGAGAAATGCCCCAAGAAAAAGCAGAAACTGAAGACAATTGCTGTAGAGGCCTGGCAGAGCATCACCAGGGATGAAACCCACCGTCGTGATGTCTATGCGTTTAAGACTTCAGGCTGTAAGTGACTGCAAAGGATTTGCAACCAAGTACTAAAAAGTGAAAGTTTAATTTATGATTATTATTCTGTCCCATTACTTTTGGTCCCTTAACAACTGTGAGGCACATAATGCAAACTGTTTTAATTCCAACAGCATTCACCTGATTTGGATGTAAATACCCTCAAATTAAAGCTCACAGTCTGCAGTTAAGGAAAATCTTGTTTGTTTATGTTAAAGAATTTTAGAATTGTTCCAATGTCCAAATATTTATGGACCTAACTGTACATTTCTTAGCAGATTTGGACAGGTGTTGCTGAGGGAGGTGGAGGGTTTTAGAGAAACGCACTGCAGAACGAGATCACAGTAAACATTGAACCAGTTTAAATGTTGAGCAGCAATGTCATTGACTGCAGAATCAGTAGAGACCAAGCAGATTGTGCCATGAATTAGATGATGTGATTAATAACTCACTGCATGAACAGGAATATCAGCCTGCGCCATCTATAGAGGGACTCAAGCTGTTTATATTCTGTAGCAACTGGACCCTCCGCATGAAGATCTGCTGTCCACTGCGCTGCAGAACGTTGAGGTTGAACTAGGCAAGCTGGTTGAGATCCCTTGGCTCTACCACATCTTACAGCCCAATGATGAGGAGGTGAGCATATCCTACAAGAAAAAGAAAAACATCTAGAAGCTGATATCTACACAAGCCTGTTACCTTCAGTGATATTTTTCAAAAGGGAACATCTAGTTAAAACCCAATATGACCTTTTGTTGGCAAACATAAATGCCTGAATTACTTATCTTTTTCCATACAATAAATGTCATTAGCTACGTTTCCAGTGACATCACTCACTTTATTGAGTGCATTGTGTCTGACATTGTATCACTGAGTGATGCAATCTCAGCTTGCCTCAAAAAGGCTGCATCCAGATACTATTGAACCTTTTTGACATTATTAAATGTACATGCTAAGTCACTGATATGTGTTGGATTTAAGTCACAGATCTAAAGTTTCAAATGGTTAATTTTATTTTCAAGTTCTAAGGTAAACTATCTGTTGCTGCTTTCAGTAGTATGGCAATAATTGTTATGAAAAATGGTATTAAAACTCACATGGTAAGCATTTAGGATAGAATAAAGCACATGAGGTGTACAGGAAGTGATCATTGTTTGATCATTGTCATGTTCCTCAATCTGGCAACCTGCACTTGCGTTTGATTTGATTCAGGAATGCAATACCTAGTTTAACCACCGGGTCTCAAACTTACATACTGCACCTTTAATGTTGCGTTCACACCAGACGCGGAACGCGAGGCAAGTGCGAGTGATCTAAATGTTAAGTCAATGCAAACGCGCGAATAGACATCCTGCGGCGCAATACGTGCGAATGGCGAAACGCGAAATGCAGGAAAGTGTTTAAGTGTTTTTACTTTTACTTTAACTTTAGCGGACTTTCGCGCCGCGTTAACCAATCAGGAGCTTGCTCTTGTGGGGGCGTAATTGTGACATATCGCCTGTTGTGGGTGTCCCAGGGGAAATCCTCCAGCCAACACAGACAAGAAATTAATCAAACTGGGCTGGGTTCAGTCAGAAGCACCGCTGAAAGCCTCCGTCGGCCAGGTTAAGTTTCTGGAGGAGTTTATGAGCTCAAAGAGCTGGATGCACCTCTAAAAGGATGTAGTGGACTCAGACACGGCCCTAAAAGTATCAACGCTGTTTTTCAGCTTTCATAAAGCACATAAACACTGTTATTTTCTTCATAAAATCCATGTTAGCCATTTAGCTATGAAGCTAGAGTCACAGGGCAGACAGAAGGCCTGCCCATCACGCGAATCCACGTCTGTTCTTAAGTGAATTTGACGCGCGAATGAAGCAGATTTGACGCGCGAATAAAGCGGGGTTTGACGCGCGAGTAACCTCAAATGTTCACGTGGCTATTTACACACAAATAGCGCGATTTGTCCGCGCGTTCCGCTTCTGGTGTGAAAACAGCATAAGACACCTTACTGACCTCAGACTTTCAAATATGAACTGAATGACTGTTTTGCAGTCCCTTGACTAAAAGACTGACATGTTATGTTGTGTGAGACAGGATCCCTCCCTTGAGTATGGAAAAAGAAACAGTCGGAGTGGCATGTTCCGCATAGTGCCAAAGTTCAAGAAAGAGAAAGTGCCCAAGAAGTCTAGCCCACAATCAGGTATGTGTGTGTATGCGTTTGTGTGTGTGTGTGTGTGTGTGTCCACATATACTTGAATATTCTTACATCGGAAATACACTAAAATCACAGATTCCTCATGCTTTGTTGAATTCATTGTCATGTAAATGTGTTTAAGTGTTACATTTTAGTGGTTTGATTTGAAAAAATCCTCAAGCAAGACTTTGAGACTGGACTTGTTTTTTGTTTTGTTCTTTGAATTTTTATAAAAACAATTACTAAGACGATGTCCATGGACATACGGAGGCAGTGACACGCAGCCTGTGTGATGAAATAGAGCGCCATTCAGCATGTACGTCCTCTTCAGAGAGGATTCTCTGTTCATGTCTATTGGTCCTTAGTCCTCAACCCAACCATCCATAAGCACCCCTGCACTCCTCTCTGGTCATGGTGTTGTCCTGTGAGTCAGAAACAGTCCATGTGTCTAAACATGAACAGCAGGCACAAACCAAGGTGTATCGAACAGAAGGGGAGCTACAAAAACCACTCATTCACACCCAAACATGTCATTTTGCACTCTATCTGCTGCACAGCTTAAAGATGAAGTGTGGAATTGGTGTCACTAGCAGCACTGAATTGAACTGTAAAAATATTGATTGTTTTCGAACTGGTTTTCAACTCCTTCTACTTAGACTCCCGCCTTAACTGACTGTCCTGTGCACAAACTCTTGTCATGGTTGACTCAAACAGTATTATTTAGTCATATTTACATATCTAAAGCCAAACTTTTGGCATAAATTCTGGTCGACACGGCTTTTTATTCTGGCAAGGATCTGCCATTTAGACAAAAGCAGTGTATCTGACTTGGCTTAAACTTTCTTAAAGAGGTAGTTCACACAAAAAATCATTTATACTCTATCATATGGTTTTAAACCTATGAATTTCTTTCTTCTGTTGGGCACAACAGAAGTTGTTTTGAAAAATGATGGTTGCTTTGACCCATCGACTTTCATAGTAGAAAAAAAAAAACACTGGAAGTCGATGGCAGCTATCAGAATTTTTTCAACAGAAGAAAGAAATTCAAATAGGTTTTGAACAAGTGAAGGATGATTAAATCATGACAGAATTGTCAATTTTGGGGAACTGTCCCTTTATGGTTATTTGGTTTCAGTATGCCTTTAGATTTTAAATTAATAATTGTAATTCTATATAAATTCTATATATTCTTATTATAATTATATTAATAATATAATTAATAATAATATGATTTTATTGATAATTCTTTAGATTTTAAAATAATAATTGTAATTCTATATAAATTCTATATTTTCCTTTTATGATTCTAATAATATAATTAATAATAATATAATTTTAATAATAATTCTTTAGATTTTAAAATATTATTCTAATTCTATATAAATTTTATATATTTTCACAATTCTAATTATAATATAATTAATAATAATATAATTTTAATGATAATCCTTTAGATTTTAAAATAGCAATTGTAATTTTATATAAATTATATATATTCTTATTATAATTCTAATATTAATATAATTATATAATAATATAATTCTAATAATGATTCTTCAATAACTCTTTAAATTTCAAAATAATTGTAATTCTATATTAATTCTAAATATACTTATTATAATTATAACAATAATATAAATAATTATAATCTAATTTTAATAGTAATTCTTAAAATTCTTTAATAATTCTTTACATTTTAAAATCATACATGAATACATACAAAAATGTCAATATTAAATTAATATTTAGTATTACATAATAAAATACAGCATCTTTATAAAGCTTCAGAGTCACTTCATAAAATTGCCAACAACCAATATCATTCAATTAAACACACTAAATTGTTTATCATCCGAAATTAAATTCTGATCATTTTACAAATTTGGAAACAATCCAGAGTATCAGAGTTTCAATATATGCTTGTGGCTGTCTGCGTAAAAGTTGTTTACGCATACCAAAAAAAATTCCACACGTCACCTTTAATCCCTGCTGAGACAGACCAGATTTGTGAGGATAGTACATACTTGCCTTATACTCTGCAAAAAGGATTGAGAGGGGATCAAAATAGGTTTACAAACTGTAATCCATCATATTCTTCAGCATTTTCAGGCCAGGATGACTTTCATAACAGATTCGCATGCGTCTGCACTCTTAAATTGAACATTACGGTGCCTATTACAGAGATTTACCATCACCAAAACAAAGTAGAGGTTATTTAGCTTAGCTGTTGGGATTTTCTTCCAGCACAGGACGTTTTTTAGGAGCGTTTAGTTCGCACAGGCTTCAGCCTTCCATTCCCTCCTCCTCCTTCCTCCTCTTTCTCCTGTCTCTGTGTGTGCTCTTAATGGGATGACGGTGATAACCTGCATGCCAGAAACGCCTCTGGGTGTTCCAGTGACCAAACCGAACCTGTTTAACCCTCTCTTTGCCAGCTGCTGCTGCCACTTCTCTCTGTGTCTTCTCTTTCCTGTTTGATTGATTTTTTTTTTTTTTAAGTCCTCTTTTCCTTTTGTGGTTGTTTTGTTGACTTGAAGAGTTCTGATGCAAAAAAACTATTAAGTGCGGTCTGAAATGCTCTGCTATAATGAGCATTTTTCTCAGCCTTTTATGTTTATGTTCACTTTAAAGGAATAGTTCACCCAAAACTGTATGTTCTGAATATTTACTCACTTCTCACATGTTCCAAACTAGGTCAAGGTTATTATAGTTAACGAAAACGAACGAAAAAATTAAAAACTAAAATTGAAAAACATGTTCGTTAACTGAAATAAAATAAAAATGGTATTGTGTACATGCAAAATTAACTAAAATTATAACAATAATGTCCTTCGTTTTTGTCTTTGTAAATGTACTTAATACATAACCCTTTTAGACATAAATCTTTTCCTTAGCTTTGCCAGTTTTACACATACTCCATTGGCCAGATCAAGTCAGTCCTCCTCCAGTCAGTTTTTTTTTATTATTATTATTATGCGAAAAGTGGGAATATACAATCACAGTACATTATAAAGGAAATTTAATTTATTTTTAATTTAAATCACATTTTGAAAAAGAAAACAACAACAAAAAAACAGTTCATACACATTTTTATTACTAAAATCCTATGACTTTTCCGTGATTTTCCTAGACTTTTAAGTAAATTTTCATGACTTAATGTTTCATGCAATGTCAACATTTGCATGTAAAATGAAAAACAATGCATGTTCATATTTATTACAGCATATTGTAAAACATGCTACAGTTGGGTTGCAAACCGTAATTGTAAGAAACTTTTTAGGTCATGGTGATGTTTTTAACGACTGAAATTATGATTGCTAAGTACTGTACATATTTTTGATATGTTGAGTCCAAACTTGGGAAGATTGTCACAAAAGATCTGGTTTACATTAAAGATCCAAACTTCCCATCACTACTGTGTACCTCAGAAGTCTTGCACACATATCTTACCTGAGGCTGCTATCTTGTGGGCTGCTTTATTTGAATTTGAGGATGGGCAGATGGTAGTGGTAGAAGGTCCGTTAAAAAAAACAAACAAACTAGTAAATCTACCTCAAAAATATTACAAGCTTGCTGAATTAAAAAAAAAGTCAAAACAAAATAAAAACTAAAACTAATGGAAAAATCCTAAACGATGATAACCTTGCTTAGTGTTTCATTCTTCTGTTGAACACAAAAGAAGATAATTCGAAGAAAGCTAAAAACCATTGATTTCAATAGCAAGAAAAACAAATACTACTGAAGTGAGTGGTTCAAAATTCTTCAATATATCTTCTTTTGTGTTAAAAATTGATATTTTGATATATAGATCACAAAAGAAGATATATTGAAGAAAGCTGAACCATTGACTTCCTTTGTATTTGTTTTTCTAACTATGCAAGTCAATGGTCTTTGGCTCTCTTCTAAATATCTTCTTTTTTTTCTTTAACAGAAGAAAAAAATTAAAAAGGTATTAGAACTTGTGAGTATTAAGTGAGTAAATTGTCATTTTTAGTTAAACTATCCCTTAAATGTCAATGAAAAGAACATCTTATTTGTAATAAAAGTTAAATAACTGAAACTACACACACTAGGTTGAGAAAAAATGCTCATTTTAGAAGAACATCTCAGACGGCGCTTTAAGTATTTTTTGCATCCGAGCTCTTCACTTGTTCCTCCTCTCGGCCTGACCCTGTTTGCTTGTGTCCTGCGAGTGTACGGGGGTTGGACACTGAAGGGGGCTTCTCGCTCTGTACTTGTGTAGTTCAGAGGTGGGGTACTGAGGAGGTGGCCATCTGGCTGGAGCAGCTCAGCTTGGGAGAGTACAAAGACACCTTCATCCGCCACGACATCCGCGGCTCCGAGCTCCTGCACCTGGAGAGGAGAGACCTTAAGGTATACACACAACCCCTTTTCTGTGCCTCACGATGTCCCTCAGATCAACCGAAACCTTCTTTTCTCTGTCCATCTTACTCTTTGACTCTCTCACTATCTCTCTCTTTCTGTCATCTTACCTGTCACCCTGTTTGCTATTTTGTGCTGCACTGCTCTGCTTGGCTTCCTCTGTGCAATTGTCATTCGGGTCTCCAAGTACTTACACGGCTAACCGGCCTGACGCCCATACTGTAGGTTTATTTTAAGTTGGCTAGAATTGAAAGATGCCAGCAGGGCTGCAACTATTTTCCGGTTGTGTGTTTGTGTAGCTCATAAGTACAGAAAATGTGTGCGTGATTTGACAAGAGTTTTCTGCAAATCAGGCCCTGTTTACACCTGGTATGAACAAAAGAGATTGGGATGGGGAAGATAGTATATAAAAGAAGGTATATATACTGTACAGTTGAAGTCAGAATTATTAGTCCCCCTTTGAATTTTTTTTGAATTCTTTTTTTATATTTCCCAAATGATGTTTAACAGAGCAAGGAAATTTTCACAGTATGTCTGATAATATTTTTTCTTCTGGAGAAAGTCTTATTTGTTTTATTTTAGCTAGAATAAAAGCAATTTATCAACATTTTAAACAGCATTTTAAGGACAACATCATTAGCCCCTTTAAGCTAATTTTTGTTTTGATAGTCTACAGAACAAACCATCGTTATTCATAAACTTGCCTAATTACCCTAACCTGCCTAGTTAACCTAATTTATCTAGTTAAGCCTTAAAAATGTCACTTTAAGCTGTATAGAAATTTCTTGAGAAATATCTATTCTAATTTTATTTACTGTCATCATGACAAAGAGAAATAAATTAGTTATAAGAAAGGAGTTATTAAAACTATTATGTTTAAAAAAAATCTTCTCTCTGTTAAACAGAAGTCGGGGTAAAAATTGGGGCTAATAAATCTGACTTCAACTCTGTATTAGGGTTGTAACAATATACCGGTATGACGGTCTACCACGATTTGAACGTGCACGATTATCATACCATGAACAATTGCATATCAACGGTTTTAACCCTTAAAGACCGAGACAGCCGCCCGCGGCTAAAAATAAGTATTGCTCTTAAATGTTTAATAACTTTTGATCCGCTGATCCGATTCATACAATTCAAAGATTGGCATAAAGAAGAGAATCTCAGCTTTGCAGTGCTGTATCACATAACATTCGCGGCTCCGGAGGCTCCGGAATCAGTGCGGTTACGTCATCAAAATTTGACAACGCTGATTTGACAAAGAAACGCTCGTCACTGTGTCTCTGGACAAACCAGACATGATACATTGATGCATTGTCCCTCCTCCATGCCCAGATTGGTTCAAACTCACTATATCACAACCAATAAGCATAGGTTTCGCTTTTGTTTGTGGACCAAAAACGAGCTTTTTGAACAACACGGAATGAGAGATAGGCATACATTTATGCGCGGCTAAATAAAACGCAAAAAAAAAGTTTTGCATGAAATAATTCTCATACTAAGTACTTTTGCATGCACAGCAGCACAGAAACATGACAAAACAGTGACACAGCAAAGACGAACTGCTGCTCTTGCTGTTTTCAAAAGACGCAAATGAAGGTGCAGCTGTTTGTCTGCATTGCAGACAACCATATCGAAATCCATATCCACAGACAACCATATCCATGCTGGCACATTAAAACTAAGGATGTTCCATATTGAATCTAGTTTCGTTATGTAACCATTTATAGTATAGTAAATATTTATATCTATTTTTTTACTGAGGATTTGCACCATGTTTATTTGGACTTTATTTGGACTTTGACACATTATTTATTATTTTCTTATTTTTTTATTTGTTCATTGTAAGTGGTGTTGTTTATAGTAACTGAAAATATATTATTTGGAAAAAGTCAAATTTGCTTCACTGTTCTATTATTTTGTAACATTTGTAACATACCGTATACCGCGAAACCGTCAAACCGTGGTATTGTTTTAGACGATTATCATACCGTAAAAAATTCATACCGTTACAACCCTACTCTGTATGTATATACAGGTATATGTGTATATATATATATATATATATATATATATATATATATATATATATATATATATATGTGTGTGTGTGTGTGTGTGTATATATATATATATATATATATATATATATATATATATATATATATACACAGATACATGTACATGTATATATGTATATTTTAATTGTCGTAACTGTTTGATTTAATTGATTGTAACATTTTAATTGTCTGTAGCTAAGGTTGTATCCAAAATCTCCCCTATACCCTTAATTTTTGCAGCCATTTGTAGACATTCTAAAGTGCACTTAGTTAATCCCACAATAATGAGTGTACAACCCATGTGCACTCAACAGCTAGAAAACACCCAAAGTGCACTGCGGGAGTTTGCACACTGAATGATTTTGCATCTGACTACAAGATGGCGGCCATATTGTGGCATCCTGACAGTGAAAGTTTCAAAATAAAGTATTATTTAATTAAAGTAACATTTAGTATATATACGTAACAGACATCAAATTACTTGGTTTGACTGCTTGTAGACTGCTCACTAAGTATTAAATGACTATCACAGGTTCTTTAATATCTTATCTGCACCAAATTATTTCACATCTGACCACAAGATGGCCGTCATTTTGCGAAATTCTGTCAGTGAAAGTGTCAACATAAAGTATTTAATTAAATTATTTAATATAATTATTAATTATATTTTAAAAATAATATAAATAATAATATAATTAATATTATATAATTCATTTATTCATTTTCTTGTCGGCTTAGTCTCTTTATTAATCCGGAGTCGCCACAGCGGAATGAACCACCAACTTATCCAGCAAGTTTTACGCAGCGGATGCCCTTCCAGCCGCAACCCACCTCTGGGAAACATCCACAATCACATTCACACACACACTCATACACTACGGACAATTTAGCCTACCCAATTTACCTGTACCGCATGTCTTTGGACTGTGGGGGAAACCGGAGCACCCGGAGGAAACCCACGCGAAGGCAGGGAGAACATGCAAACTCCACACAGAAACGCCAACCGAGCCGAGGTTCGGACCAGCAACCCAGCGACCTTCTTGCTGTGAGGCGACAGCACTACCTACTGCGCCACTGCCTCGCCAATATTATATAATATAATAATTTAATTAAAGTATAGTATGTATACATGACAGACATCAAAAAACTTTTTTATTGCTAATAGACGGCTCACTAAGTGTTAAATGACTATTACAGGTTCTTTAAAATCTGGTCTGTGCCAAATGATTTTGCATCTGACCACAAGATGGTGGCCATATTGGGGAATCCTGTCGGTGAAAGTAAAAAAAATCATTATTTAATTAAAGTAACGTACAGTAGCCTATGTATACATGACAGACATCAAAATACTTTGTTTTATTGCTAATAAACAGCTCACTATGTGCTAAATGACTGCAGGTTCTTTTTAAATCTAATCTGTGCCAAATGATTTCACATCTGACCACAAGATGGCGGCCAAATTGTGAAATTCTGTCTGCAAAAGTTTCAAAATGAAGTATTATTTAATTAAAGTAACGTGCAGTATGTATACATGACAGGTATTAAAATACTTTGTTTTATTGCTAATAGACGGCTCACTAAATGTTAAATGACAGCAAGTTCTTTTAATCTTATCGGTGCCAAATCATTTCACATTTGACCACAAGATGGCGTCCATATTGCGGAATCCTGTAAGTGAAAATTAAAAAAAAAAAAAGTTTTTTTTAATTGCAGTAGCGGACAGTATATATACGTGACATACATCAAAATACTTTGTTTTATTGCTAGTAGACTGCTCACTAAGTTTTAAATGACTATTACAGTTTCTTTAAAATCTTAAAGAGAGATTTTACAACAAAATGGCATCCCTTGCAGTGTGCTGATTGCTTGAATTCACTCACTTGTTTTCATTCACTCTTTCAAGCGGACTATATTTGTGGACTGATGTAGGAAATAGCGAATGAGAGTATGGGGCTCTTTTGGATCTAGTTTCCATCACCCTTGCTGCGTCCCAATTCGCCTACTTATACTAAGTAATAAAAGTTATTATAATAAAAAAATATTTTTGCCACTTGTTTAGAATGAGCTGAATCAACACAATTCTTGATTTTTGAGACAATTGAATTGTTTTATGTTCAATCCACTTACATTTGTAAAAAATAATTAAGTTAACTTATCGATTTGTGTTGGGGCAGCATGAAGGAATTGTGTGAAACCCAGCATTTTACAGTACTTTTTTTGTGTGAGGAAAAAGTACATACTTTTGATTGTGTAACAAAAGAGTATGCAAGCTTTGGGACAAACTGTTTCCTTATTAATGGATTATTATCTTGCTTACTTGCCATGTCAATCATCTTGACACATCATCCACATTTCTTTCCTTCCATATTGACAAAGCAGCAGCAGGTGAATATGAGTCTTTCATGCCGAGAAATCCCCTCAGATGTTTGCATGATAATGCAACACGTCTTTATAAAAGTTCACATTGTTGTTGCAGATGAAATATCAGACAGAAAAGACTGATTTAAATATTTTCCATTTAAATGTATTAACCAAAACCTAAAGGTATAGTTCACCCAAAAAGGAAAATGTACACACTGTTTACTCACCTTGAAGTGGTTCCAAACCTTTTTTTATTTCTTTACTGTGATTAAAGGCTGAAAACTGGTAACCATTTACTTCTATAGTAGGAAATACAAATACTATTAGTCAACAGTTACAGGTTTTTTAGTCTCCTTCAAAATGTTTTCCTTTGTGTTTAACTGAGGAAAGAATGTCAGACTGGTTTGGAACAAGGGAAGGGTGAGTAAATAATGACAGAATTTGCAGTTTTGAGTGAACTAACTTTTTAACAGTTGGTCTTGCGCATTCACGTTGTTTGTAGTTTTTTGACCTATGATTGTAGTTCTAATCAAATTCACAAGCAATGCACACTGCATTGTTGGAAAT